TCTGAAACGGGCATTTTTTTAAGACCATAGCCAACTATGATTGCCATATAAAATAAGAAAGTTGTATTCATTTATGAGAAAACGAACATAATTTTCGTAGACAAAAAAGTCAATAGCCCTATATCTCGGTTGGTAGTGTCTGTAGTGTAGTATGTTCTTAAAAATCGAGCTCTAGATACGTAAATCGACTTTGCTCTATCTACTCAGCAATAGCGTTTTACTGTTAAAACTCTCCAATTACGACCACCCTGTACATGCATCGTTTATCAAATGTCTTCTTAAAGCAGACTTAGAACTTTTCGGGGACACGCTGTACATAAGCCTGAGCTTGAAAATCGAATTTCTCATCGTTAAGTGAGGATAAGTAAATAGTTTCTAGGTTATAATAATAATAATAATCAAACAATTCGCTTTCGCGCGGAACCGGATATATTCGCGCTCGATAATATGGCGGACGCGGCCGCCGAAGACGGCGACCTGAACTTGAAAAACATCAAGGAGGACCTCGCCTTGGCCGAAACTTTATCCAGGGTGAACCTGCTCACGTCTCCCATGGCCAAGCGGAGATTAGCTGCCCGAAGCATAGAATTAAAGTTCGGATACATGGACGAGGTGTCAGGAGATTTTGTCCCCCCACGGCAACTCCTCATTTACCTAGTAAGGTACGGGAAAAATACAAAGAAAATCACGTCGTATACGCCAAACATTTTTTTTTATTACTTATTTTTAAGTTGTCATTAGTCTTACGCTTAAAGAAAAAATGAAAAAAAAAAACATCACAAAATATTAATTTAAATGATTAAAATAGCAATTTAAACATGCTATAGATTTAAACCAAATAAATTTTAAGAAAGGTCCTTTTATTTCTGTTAGCGCTATCATTAGACTAGGAAGTCCTATTTTTTAATTTTTATTGGAATTAAATTTGCCCCCACTTTGAATTAATATCAGTCTTACTTAAAATAAAACGAACAAATTTTTTTCAATTATTCCTAATTGCCTTTACTTAGGTTTTGGTAATAAAACGAAAGAAAATCAATGGCGGCGTTGTTCTATTGGCTGGTAAAACTCACGTGATCGGATCGGAAAAACGCATGAAGCTGGCGCCTTTTTCCCATAAGTAGTCACTTAGCATCATTGAGTTTATGATTAATCGGTTCAAAAATCGGTTTAAATCTATTATAAAGTGAAACGCATCTGGATGTAGATTCTTCTAATAATTTTTATTTCTTCTTAACCCCTTTAGTAAAGTTTGACATAATTAGTGCTACAAAAAAACGATAAATATACAATAAATTTATCACAAAAAAGGAGGAGACAGACGTAGCCGACAAATTCAGGCCTATTTCATTTATTCGCATTTTCTGTTAGTTATCGAATTCGTTGTAAAAGGAAGGTTGGCATGTTTGGCGAGGTACAGTGTACCGATCGAATGTCAATATGACTTTAGATGTGGAGGCCGTACTCTAGGTCCTCAACATTTCCGAGGCCTTCGATAAGTTTTGGAATACGTGGCATTGCAAAACCATTTTTTGGTTCCTATCTGAGCAATAGAAAGCCTCCATTAATAATGTGAGCTCAAATCTACTCAATATTTCAACGGGCGTACGCCAAGGCTCTGTTTAAGGACCCCTTCTAATCATGATGATTCATTTGGATCGGGCACTCTGTTCTATTCGTTCGTGTTTGACTTGCAATAAACTTTATTCTATCGTCGTTAAATAAATATTGTGTTAATGTGATGACGTATATATTTTAACCAACAAGTTCAATAAAGTGCCTTCAGAAAAGAGAAAAATTATAGCACTTCATTACCCCAACTGTAAACGTCAAATTTCAACGAAAAAGCGGAGATTATTTCACAATTTATATACACTTTTTGCACTTAAAATTCCAAATTGCTCAAGTTATGAAAAGTACCCGAAAATTGGGGCACGTCAACATTCTTAAATGAAATGTACAGCAAGTCTGCACAAGCTATTTGAAACAGCATCCTTTGTTTACTTTACAAATAAACGCCAGACTGACCTACATATTTACGCTTTTTAAATAGAAATGGATAATTGTTTACCTTAAAAAATCGCTTGTTTACTTCCACGGGTCCTTAACCTGCAGTGTGAAAGATAAGCACCACGCGTAGGAATTATACAGCGTGTGTTTCACGATTGACGCCAAATACAGTATTTTTAATTGTGAGTTTAATCAAATTAATAATTTTCTTTCTTATTTTTATGTGGCCTGCGGTGACCTGAACAATTTCGCACTTCTAATCAATCTGACACTAAGAGTTATACGATGACTTTCCTGCCACTATGAATGAGACTGAATGAATAACGTCCTGAAAATTTAAGTAAATCACATATTTAATATAACTTTCGAGAGCTTTCCTTTACTTTACATTTTGACAAGCAAAACTAAATGCTTACTTATTCAAAATTTGTCAAATAAAACAATTTCGGTAGAACTTCCAAATATAGAGGGTGTAGCAGTTTAATGTAAATACATATAAACATAGCTCATATACATAGTAACTACTGCTGACTATTTAAGTACTACAATAAACTGATACACCTTGTATATATATGCTTACGACCAAACTTTTTGGTTCTTACTTTTCTTTAAGTCCGTTAATTTATTTTTAGTTTAAAACTGCTAAAAAGTATATTTTTTTAGCAGTTAGATTATTACAAACCCTAACAAACAATTTAATTTTATTGTTGCGATATAACAATTATTTTATTTGGCATATTGCGTATCGAATTGGGTAAGAAATGTATAACTAAGTATGGTATGTCGAAAAGGGTCTCCCTATGATTAATGAAAAATTCATAGTCATGGCTGTCGCGTAGGTAATTAATAAATTTCGTTTATGCATCGGCATTTTACGTAACGCTATAGTTACGGTAACGTTATTACGTAACGCGATTGCTTGGAGATTAGGCGCCGTCGCCTTAAATGGCGGGAACGCCGTTGTATTAAACGCGGAAATGCTTGTGCGGCAATAGGCAATCGCGATTTTGCAACATTTATGTAAACCGAACATTGAAAAACACGATATAAACAATCGCCCGTGGAAATATACCCGCTCATCAGAAATGCTTAATTAAAAAACAATTTTTAACTGTTGTGGTTGTAATTTCAATTAGTGCTTTTCACTATTTCACCTATTATCTCGAATTTTTACACTAACGAAAAATAACATGTAAATTCCGACACTAAAAACTTCCTCCTTAGCCAAAGGTAATAGTAATATTGGCCCACGGGAGTAAAGAAGAAGAAAAGCCTTTCTCATGACAATTCTGCCCAATAACAGTAAAAGAACCCTCTTGGAGAATGATAGAATATCAGTTAGTTCAGTATTAAATTACAATTTGTGTCGTTAATTTTAGATTTTAGAAAAGAAGAAGAGAAGCAAACTACAACCTTGTTTAGTAGTTTGTGGCATTGTAAACTTTAGAACGACTTTTAAAACAAGATTTTCGAAAAATCGCAACTGGGGGTTGGGGGGGCAAGTTCGCATCGCGTGCCCTGAACCATCCTATTATTTTAAAACGAAGGCGCTTGGCGGTTTCTTGTGTTACGTGAGGGAGATGCATTGTTTTCGCAAAATCGCTGTGATTTAATTGTGCATACACCCTGTATAAAGTGTCTTTAAAGTCTCGCCGAACCTGAAAGTTACGGCAAACTTTGTTAAATATTGAAATTTGTACAAATAATTGCGTGGTCCAATGATATTTTTTCAAATAGCTCGCGTGCTCTGTATAATTGACGAAACCAACTATCTCTCGACACAGTTTACGATATTGTTCAAATCAAATTATCGCCTTTAGCAGTTTTCCTTTTATCCCCAACAATTTACTCACAAAAACGGAAATTTTTGGGATGATTTTGATTTTTTTTTGTATATAATGTATATAATATAAATATAATGTTCGAAATGGAGGTTATAGCCCTGGATCCCCCAAGTTTCCTGGTATATGATTTTTTTCAATAGTCAGTGGTTTTCAAGAAAATACTAATTTTCTGAAACCATGCAGTAGATAGTAATAGTAAATGACGTCATCGCGTCTAGTTTGAGGACGAAAAATGGTAATTTTCATTTCGATTTTTTCAAATATTTCGAACAGCGTATATAATAGACGAAAACCGTAAATACAAAAATTGTAGCTCTCGATGTGGCCTATAACGCCATTTAACACGATTTTCAGGGTCTTTAAGATTTTTGTCTATAATTGAAAAACTATATATATAATTGAAAAAATGCCTGAAATAAAAGTTATGGTCCCGGATCTCCTGCATTTCCTAGTTCACAAAACAGTCAGTTAATAGTTTTCGAGAAAATAATTTTTTTCTGGAGGGTAAAATGTACCAAAAAAAGTTTTTTTGGTATATTTTATGTTTTTCTTTTTTTTATATTTTTAACAAACTACTTTGCGTGATTTGAGTAAGTCCTTTTTCAACGGATGAAATGCGGATGTGGACTTCTACCCTTCTGCCAAATCTGAATTCGAAAAATCGATGAAGCAACAAGTTAAATTTTATGTGGCAAAGTTTGCCAACAAAATTTTGAATTCTTTGTTCCAGTTAACAAGGCATTCACAAAAAGAGATCTGTTTGCCGTTCGGTGTCAACAAAAATCATTAAACAAAAAAATATATTTAAAAAATGCAAACAAATAACATGCAACAAAGAATTTTTTTTTTGTAATAATCTAGAACAGAAACTATTTGAAGAAATGGAAAAAATGATTGATTAAACAACAACAAAATTACTAACGGGAATCTTGATAGGCCTTATCAAAATTAGTAAATATTTACGTTACGGTGAGTAGTAAATATTTGAAGCTTAACTCGTGAGTCGCTTGTTGACTAGACGGTCGCAAATATTTCCTGGAATTATAAAGTGTCAGGAAAAATAACGGAAAAGCCAAAATTTCCGATATGCGAAATGGTCCCGCTTGGCGCGGATTTTGCCAAAAGCGTTTTGATCACGTTCCAACTGTATGCCCACCTAATAATAACGAAAAAGAGCGATTCTCATCGTTCGCGCGCAATTGGTCGTCATCGCCATCGCGATAATAGTGACTTGTGATAACATCGATAACGTGTTACATGTATTATTTACTCGAGACGGTCTCTTACGGTGTGAGTAAATTGCTAAATACAGATGATACAAGTAAGCCCATAGTTCAACCTGATTGTCATCAAATTTTATTTTCATTGATCATTGTTTTCATCATCATCACAAAATCTCGCAAAGCTCCACAAAACCCAGCGGTGTTGTGACGTGTCGGTGACATTACATTGACCATTGAACGATGACGTTCGAATCTGACATTTTTATTACCCAAGGAAAGGAAATATGTTTTCGTGTTTTCGTTTTGTCGATTGAAACTTTGACGCCTCAACGATAGGTGGCGGTGTGAAATCGTTTCAAATAAAATTTAAAATGGCTTCGATTGAATATTGGACGATGACGTTTTAAAAAAAAAACGCTATGAGCCAACCTCCACAATATGGCGGATGCGCGGCTGCTTCGATTTTATTGCCGACTAATCTAGCAAGTAATCTGTAGAACGATGTGATAATTTCATTACCGAAATATGTCTCTCAGCAACTTTTCGATAATAACAAAAAAGAGGAAATATGTTTTCGTTTTGTCGATTGAAATGTTGACGCCTCAACGATAATTGGCGGTATGAAATCGTTTTAAATAAAATTTAAAACGGCTTCGATGAATCTCGACGAATTGGCGAATCTACAAGATTTTTCAATTTTGAGTTGCATCGATAAATCTTCACGAAAGTGAAGTTTATAGTTTAAAGGTTATAGCACCATAATTTTCATTACATTCAAATTCTCTTGTATCAATTCCAAAACATTTTTTAGTTGAATTAATTTGCCAATAAAGTGACACACTGAAAATGTTTTTATTTTGCGTAAACTTTCGAAGCACAAATGGAGCCCCTTGTGTGCCTCCCAAATTCACTCAGTGTATATCGGGACGTGTGGGGGTCGCGGACAGGACCGGGCTTGTACGGGAAATAATAAATGTCAAATATCTACCCTCTCCAATTGCTTTTCACTAACTTTTGGTAACCTTTGATATATTACAATAATTTTTATGACGTAATGCCATTTTCTAAATCACCAATTATAAATTATAATATAATTTAATATTTTTTCTGTTTAAATCTAATTTTGTTATAAAAATCCCAGAGGCTCACAACAATCTATTGTCCCAGCTTTTAGTTTGCAGCTTAAAAATGCTCATCCTGTGTTTCCAATGAAAGTAACATGAATTAGTACTTTTTACAAAGCTTCTGGTTTCGTCCTGCGTCGGTTTTTGCTGAATCGAAATTGCTGACATTTCGCCAATCATCCTGTTGGCTTCTTCAGAGCTTGACTGAAACTGATCCACTTATGGCATCACTTAAAAGATAACGTAAAAACACTGTAACATCGGATTTCCGCATTCCTTTTCAATTGTTCGTTTTCCTTTAAACCCACGCGTGCACTTAAAACGTGCGTTAATTAATAACCATGTTGTTAAACGATTTTTTTGCAGCAGGCCGGAAATTACCCGCGCGGAAGTGAAAAAGTGATGCGTTGTCGGACTTACGTGCGAATGTGGCAACGCCGCACCTCTTGACTATCACGTAGTGTAGGTGTTAGTTTGACCTTGTCAATTGAGACAAAAAAAAGTGCACCGACGACAACAATCACAACGGCGACATCAAAAGCGAGGCGGGACTAAAAAATAATGGCGTCTAGACGCTTTCTGTCGATATCGACGAAGAGCCTGGGAAAAATAATGACCACGTTTCCAAGGTAACTAATCTTAAGGTTTTGGTCGTTCTGCGAACGTAGTTAATCTAAGCATTAGGCGCCTATGGAGTTTTTATGATCAGTTATACAGGGATCGAAAAGAAAAAACTATGAAATTTGGTTTACGGTCGTAATAGAACACATTATACGTATTAATTAGTAAAAAATCGTAATATTAATTTGTATTTCTTCAAGAACTGTAAGATATAAGTATGTTAAATTCCGGGTAGATCCGCCAAAATTCTATAAAATATCGATTATAATTCAGTAACATTTTTTTGAGTTCTCTGCCATAGTTGACCCTGTACATCTAAAATGAGTGCTGCACCAAAAAACTTAACGAGGATTAATTTATTGATAATAAGCTTTAATTTATTGACAACGGTAGTCAAATCGCCTTTATCTTGATAAAGTATCTATGCTATATATGTCTATCGTATAGAGGGCAAAATTGAAGATGCAGAAGAGCAAAGTGGTTTCCGGGTGAGATAACATTTTCTGCTAGAAAAAACTAGCCAAAAAAATTATAGCTTGCTCGAGAGAATTATACCGTATATTTTACCGTATCGGTAAATAAGTTATGGGATGCTTTAAAAGGAAAAGAAGTAAGTGCCAGTGATGTACATAAATGCAATGAGACAGTTCTAATACAACGCGAAAAGTTTTGTAAAAATTCAAAAAGAAACTTCTCAAGAATTTTTGGTAAATAAAGCCCTGAGACAGGGATGTTGTTTCTCTCCCCTTTTATTTGAAATTTACATAGATAAGGCCTTAAAAGAATGGAAACGAAGAAAAATTCTTGAACCACAAAACGTAAAAGATCTGGGACTATAACCTTTATCTCAGAGATTTGTTCGATTATTTACGGGGTGTGTCTGAAAATGACCTTTTCTGAGGATAAATCATTAGCTCAAATCCATGTGAGTGCTACAAATGTTTATAATAAGGTAAGTTCCTTTATAACACAACTAACTATTATTGTACTATCAGCGAACCTTTATTTTCATAAGAAAAAGTGTATCACTTGTCAACATATGACGTCAAAATCTTGAGGGGAATTCGAAAAGACCCGCGATTACTTCGCAATTAGCCGGATAAAGGATAAATTCAGATAAATAAGGGGTAAACAAAAATTCGCGGCACCCAAAACTGATGAAATTCCCTTTCTTTTGCGGTCATCGCGCGTTGCGGTCACTGGCTTTCATTATTTTAAAATTAACGCTAAATAATTTCAATTAACAATAAGGATTTAATCGAGTTTAAATTCACCGCACGTGCGTTGCTATCGATCGGGCGTATTAAAGGATTCCCGAAATTTATTTTTAATCGTTTTTTCGAAATCCGTCGGCAATTGACGAAACCAGTCTATAATTTATAACGAGTTGAAGATTAAAAATTCAAAATTGCTTTATAAGTTTAATTTTCTTTGGCAATACGTACAGGGCCAATATAACGCCTTTCTCAGAATATACAGGATGTACAAAAAAATCTCAAATACAAAAGTCATCTGGTTTGAAACAAAGTTTTATTTTATTTTTGAATATACGGGACCCCGACGTGCTGTAAATTCTGAGATAGGGTTACGTTATATTGGCCACCCTGTGCAATTGTTTCGCTTTGTTTCAATCATTATTTGTTTTTGCGTATCTTCACTTTCGTTTAAGTTTTCCGTTTCGCGGAGTGTGGCGTTAAAAAAATGCTATATGCATACGTATTTCCGTTTATTTCTTTGCTCAGTTTCGCAAAACATTTGCAAACATCAACAATAAACGCGCAATCGTTGAAAACGATGTCGATAGGTGAACTAACGCATCAAGCGAAATCGATGTTGCCACATGATCTCGTTTAATGGTAGACTACCGAAAGAGAAGACGGTAAAACTATAATATAAACTATTAAACCATGAACTTACCAATCGGAATGGAGAAAAACTTGATTTTCGATGGGATTAGTAACGGAGGGAATTGGCTCGAGTGTTTGGTCAGTCCTTTGGTAAAATATTGCTGCCTATGGTGATCATAGAAGAACTTTTGAAGCAAATATGAAAAAAAATTGAGACATTTAACGTTTGTTTTCTTCAAAGAAACTTTCCTTGCCTACTGTAATACTTTTTACCAAACTTCTGGATTCCTCCTGCTTTGGTTTTTGCTGGGTCGGGTGTCGCCTTTTTACGGCAGTATGTTATTAAATTATGCCTAGACGTCCTTAAATTTCTTGGGAAAACGAATTAAGAGTGTGTGGAGATCGCTGTTTAGAAAGAAAATTGCGCAAAGTATGGGTTAGTAGGTGCACCATAAATAGTTATATGAGAACAACCTCAATCAGAACAGTTGTGGCAACGTTGTACGGGGAAAGGTCGCACGCGTTAAAGACGGACTTATCTGTGCGCGGATTTCAAAATACGGACCTGGACAAAGTACGCGCGACGGTCTGCGCGGACCACCGAATAAAAGGAACACGTTCGGGATGATTGGTACGTCACAGCTAAATGTTTTCGCAAACCCGTTAGGTGTGTGCGACCGGGATTTTCGTTATTCGCTCGTTGTATCGATAAAACACGCCGGCTATCTATATATAGAGCAATAAGTAAACTGAGCGTCGAGGATTCCGCGGTGACGTCGAAGAATTTGACTGGACTATTCGATTTCGGTTCGCTGAGGCGAGAAAAAAATGAGTGTGGTTCTCCCGGAAATGCAGAACGTAAGCTTCTCGGTCGAGAAGATGGTCGAAGTGTACCTCAGGAAGCAGAATTTGTGAGTTTTACTTGTTTAGAATCTACGCAGTCAAACACGCGAAGGGGCAGTAATTGTTATTAATAATTCTATAGGCTAGATGCAAAAGGTTAATGATATTTTTCGCCGTTTATCGAATAAAAATATCGAGTTTTCTGTCGAGCGTAAAAGCACTTTTTATATTATACAGTTCGAGTTTCTGAAAAATTCCATAAGATGACGTATCCTGTAGATACCACGGGACGCCTACTAGATAAGGAATAAGCATAAGCAGTCGATTTGTTTACGGTAGATGTCCAACACGTATCCCACTGGCCGCCTCGTAACAGCTGATTGCAGCTGACTTAAGATATATATATACGTACGTTTAATTATGTATGGTTCAGTTTAATTTTATTAAACGGATCATGTAGGTTAAAAGATGAATTAAAAGAAAATATATTTATATCAAAAAATGTCATGGTGTTATTAACTGCCTAGCCTACTAGATGATAATTAGGATGATGATATAACTCAGTGGCGTAGACTTCCTATCTTACGGATCTTTGAATTATATTAACAAAATCTCTTTTTTAAAAATCAGTCGTATGAGGCACATATTTATATGAATCTTCATGCCTGAATTTGAAGATATTCCACGGGAAAATCGTACCTAGTAAGTGCGGGGTGGGTCAAGGAAGTTGTTCTAATTCAAAAAATAAAAACCTTTTTCCGCTCTGCGTTTCTGAGACTCAAACCTTATGACAAGCTCCTTGGCTAAAATAGGAATTGGCAATCTGCAACCGTAACATTTCTCGAGCAAGTTTTTATACCGGATCGTTAAGAATCTTCCAAATTTTCTTATGATTCGGCTTTCAACAACCAACATGGCCGCTGACATATGCCGCGTTTGGACGGCAGTTTTTTTTTCAGAATATGCCTAGGCCTCGTTAAATATGTTGGCAAAACAATTTTATTGTGTGAAAATTATTGTTTAGAAAAAAGATGGCCCTAAGCGCAGGTTAGTGCACCACCCTTAAGAGCCAATTCTAAGAAATACTAATCGAGATTTTTATTTTGAGATTTCTGCCACGTTTTGACGTTCTAAAAACAAAATTTTTAGTAGACGAATCGGAAAAGCCTTCGGCCTCGAATCGTACAAGGAACCTACTAAATGTACCACAGCTAATACGACGCGTAACCGCGTAAACAATCCTTTGTTATGAAAACTCGTAAATTTGCATAAACCCAATTCTCATTCGACCAAGTCTTGCGGAAATAACGCTGCCGAATGCCAATTAAATTGTATCGCATGTCTGTCGAATCGGCGGAATCGTAAGGATCAAATTACGATTTTTTCCAGAATGGGCAGTTTCAGTTCCGCCCCGAGAATTTCGAACGGCGACGTTCAAGACAACGACATCGTTCTGCCGAAAAACCTAAGCAGGGACGAGTTGCTGCAGTTCTGCAAGAAACGACCATACGGCCAGATGATGTTCAAGCGAGCTTTCAAGAAAACCAGGAGTATGAACGGGGACTGTTACGAACTCAAGTATAAGAAACTTAACGCCGTCACTGAAGGTAATTTTAGTAATTTTGAGTTAACCAATGTTAAATTTTGTTTATTTAAAAACAACGGAGATACTGGACTCTAAAAGAATTTCAATTTAATCCACATTTTAAGAAAAGGGTCGATGATGAAATAAAACGATTTCCCAGATTGTTCTCCAATTATCTTCGAAACTACAACAGAAACCTTCCAAACTCAATTTCTACGGTAAAGACAACATTGACAAATAACATTCATTTACAAGGCGCTCAAAAAAAAAATTGTATTGTTTTTGCATTAAATCATTTAATAGAAAAGTGGTGGTTCAAAATAAAACTATTGTATATATTCATATCAAATGTAATTGAAATATAATATATTAAGGATACATAATAAAAATAATATAAATTTAAGTAAATGAATGTAAAAATGTAAAAAAAAATCTAAATAACTTACATTATCTTTCCCGTTCGCTACGGTTTTTGAAAGAACATATTCTTATTAAAATACGTAAATAAATAACGTAATTAAGCTGGAACGTCGTGTACGGCGATCTAAAAAAGTGGACCAAATTGTTTGACTTAGAAATTTAAAATATTTAAGCCCTTCCTTACGTTCTGATAGTGTATGATGCAGCAAGTTTGATAAACGACACTTTAGTCACGGGTTTATTTTGGAACGTGGAAACCGTAGCGGAAGGATTGGTTGAGCATGTGAAGAAGTGTTGGCATACTCTACTTTTTCCACGACTATTAGTTTTTCGGTACATTTTTTCAAAACAGCACCAATACACGTGACTATCAGGGCTGTCAAACTTCAAAATACTAACAATGTTTAAAGTCTACCGAATTGTATTTTGCAACTGCATTATGGGACTTACCGCTTTTTCTATTGGTTGCATGAGTATGTGCACGCTGAGATTCTCGACTCCTAAAAACTGCGAACTATTATTGGTCAATTGGGTTTGCAGTTTATGTAGATAGGTTCATAAATACTAAAATTGTTCGTTAGCGCGAACTTTAGTTGTTTATAGCATTTTTCGCCGCATGCTACCAAATTTTTCCATTGTTCCATTCATTTTGCTCGCAACGTGGTCTTTAATTTTCAAAAAATGTATAATGGCTCTTGAAGCTGTATCTATAAATAATATTTTTAAACCCAACACGATTTTAAATGATGGTGGAGAATTGCGAAACTTTATAACACACGAGGCTAGGTTAGGTCCCAGTAGTATTGTGAATTTGGCCTACTTTTGCGTCAACATTTGTGACGGCAATATTGAACAAAACCCAATTGAATGTAATTTTTTTTATCTGCGCAGCAGAATTTCTGCTGATAGTCTGCTATACTTTTTATACTATTCTCATAAGTGATACTGTTTTATCATAATTCTGTCAACAACTGATATACCTAAAGTAAACACATTGTTTTTGCATATAATATTGCTGTTACGTTTTTTATCCATTAAACTTTTGTATTTTTAAAAATGTTATTTCATTTATGTCCGATTTTTAAATAATTGCGAAATATTTTTAAATTGGAGATGCTTTTCATAACTACCAATTTTTATAACCACAATTTTATACTATTTTGTGTAATTGCTTGGTTAAATCGAATAAACATTGCAGTTTGGCAACACTGTACAGCTGGAGGGCATTTGGCCACCACAGTTCAAATTCACCATTTCCACATTTACTAACCAAAACTGGTATACTGTTCAGGAAAGCAGCAAATTAACAATTGGAATGGAAATATCTTATTTATTCAATCATACAACAACACCAAAACCCGTTTTTACATGCAATATCTTGTCTTTTTCGAGTGACCTTTTGGTTAGTACCGGCAAAAGTCGTTTGCTATGAGGATGTATCGATTCACGATTGTATGGGTTTCATTATTGCAGTGTGCAGCGATTATCTCAGCGGTCCCCACAACTTGAGAGTGTTTCAGTGGAACATCCTTTCTCAAGGTAAATATATTGCAAAGATTTTCCAATCGAAACGTTAAATTTATCGCGTCTCAAGCGCTAGGCAAAATGAACGACAACTTCGCGAGGTGTCCCGACGAGGCGTTGGATTGGAACCACCGGAAGTACCTGATCATAGAAGAAATCGTCGAATACTGCCCCGATATAATATGTCTGCAGGTGCGTCACATCAGTCGTTTTTACGCCAGGTTTGATACAAAGCCAAAGCGTTCTGTTCGTTTTCCAGGAAGTCGACCACTTTAACTTTTTAAAGCACGTCCTGGGCACCCAGGGGTACTGCGGTATGTTTTTCCCCAAGCCGGATTCGCCGTGCTTCTACATACACGGTAACAACGGTCCCGATGGGTGCGCCATCTTTTACAAGAAAGACAAGTTCGATCTGACGAGGGCCGAGACAAGAATACTCGAAATTTGGACCATCCAGAGCAACCAAGTAATGGAATTTTGCAAAAAATTATAATTGTAATTTCAGAGACACTCTCAAATATTTTTATATCCCAGGTGGCGATATTGGTGAACTTAAAAATAAAAGAAAGTGGACAAGAAATCTGCGTGGCGACTACGCATCTTAAAGCGAGGCACAGCGCCCTCTTGGCCACATTACGCAACGAACAGGGAAAAGATTTGGTTCAGTTCTTGCAGCGGCATTGCGAAGACAGACCTTTAATAGTATGCGGCGACTTTAACGCCGAACCTAGCGAACCTGTTTACACGACGATGCTCAAAAGTAGGGAGGACATGGCCAGCGCTTATGCAGACTGTGATATTAACTCTAGGTACTTAGATCGGCGGAAGTTTGATCTGTAAGGTATTGAATTTGGTTGGTTTGTTCCAGGCTCACCTCTCGGGAGAGGGAACCTCTCTATACGACTTGGAAAATTAGAGAGGAAGGTGAAATTTGTCACACCATCGATTACATTTTCTATGGCAAAGATAAACTGGAGGTGGAGAGTGTATTGGAAATACCATCCGGAGAGGATATCGGTGAAGATCGGGTACCGTCTCTCTCGTATCCATCCGATCATTTCTCGTTAGTGTGCGACTTTAAAATAAGGACCGATGGTGATAATTAAGTGTTATCTGCGCTGCTAACATGATGGGCCGAATAGAACTGTGATGATTTTTGCCTTAACTAATTTCAGCGTTTTAGTAACAAAAGGGTCATTGTATTATGAAGATTTTCTGTTGTTTTTTAAGTATAAGTAAATTTTGTGATAAATAAATTAATACCTATGTTGATAATAAATATTTAAGTCAAAAAGTGCAAGGTTTGATTTTACATGACGTCATTAGGCACCGCGACATAAACGTGGTAAATACAACCGCTGTGTGACAGCCATCGACTGACTTTTCTGTGAATTTGAATGTGTTTTTCATATATTTGAGAGATATATGAATACCATAGACAACTATATTAAATTGGCTGTAGATGGGAAACTTTACTCTTGGAGAATTGAAACAGCATCACTGACGCCATCTAGCGCGATGTAAGAAACTAATAGAGAAGTTCAGAACCAAAACACAAAGGGGCCTAACTTGGTTTTTCTTATTTTTGAGGAGCAGTGGTTAAAGACTTTTTTGCTATTCTTGATTAAGTGCTAACCGAAGTTCTTTTTTGGACAATATGTATATGCGAGCAGGTACCATTTAACTATGTCAAGTAGATATTTTTTTCGTTTTAATTATTGAGATTTTTACAAAAAAAAAAGATAAGCCAATTCGTGATATGGGCCAGGGTATGGGCAAATGATTGCACTCAAAAACTAGTAAACTAAATATTACTAAAATTAAAAATGGGTATTGTGAATGGTTCTTAAAATCCCTATATACAGAGGGGACACCGATTTTGAGATACTTTTACTTATGGCGTCGCTTGATGCTAGCCTGGTAAATTTTTCTAGCAGAAATAAACATATTTGCGTGTAATAATTATATCTTCACAATTTTAAATTTAAACCAATTTCTGTCAAAATTCATCTGTTTGCAGCGCCTCTGGCGGGATGTAGGCAATTAAACACGGTCTGAAATATTTCGGAGTGCCCAGGTAGATACTTTTTCACAACTGGCCGGATGATCCTAGTTAACTTCGCCAGTAGACTTAAGAAGAAGTGTGAAGGCTTGCCTTGTTAAGGTTATTTGAACGTAGGTGCATGTTTTCCAATTAAAAAGAAATGAACACTAAAAGTAAAACTGCAGAACGAAATGGAACTATAAAACACCAAACAAGTTCGGTTTGGAGTAGAGCTCTTACTTCCAATTCGGAATGGCCCGATAAAGTAGGTAAAGTCAGCTTCCATCAATTCTCAATTTACCAGTAAGATGATTTCAGGAAGAATTTTTGGATGTGATTTATTGGGCCAGACAAGTAATAGGTATAATACTCGGTATTGTTTGGGGATTAATTCCGTTGAAAGGATTTTTGGGATTGGTATTGTATGTAACCTCAAAAACAAAGTTGATATAATTTTCATGGCATTTACTTTCAGATTCGTAACGCTTAACGCCGCAATAATTTACGTGTATTTCAGTAGTTTTCAAAATGTGGACGAAGAGGATTACGGCGGCGCTTGGGAACTCACGAAAGAAGGGTTTATGACTTCTTTTGCGGGCTTTTTGGTAAAAAAACAAAGTGTGTGCATTAAGGGAGCCCAATCTAATGTTTTACATTGCAGGTTACATGGATCATTATATATTCAGGGCTTTATGGAGAACCGGAAATACTCTGATAAATAGAATTTAGAATTTTAATGCTGCTGTAAATATTCCATTATGTATAGTTCATCAGTTTTTGTTAATTTATGTCATCTGATAAGCAAATTACAATAAAAATTGAGTTCGGAGCTAATGTTTAAATAATAATGGAAGTTAAATGAAACAATATATTACTGAATACTTTATTTTAAAGTATAAAAAGGATTACTACATAAATGGAAGCATAGATGTACAAAATATAAATTTAACAACACAAAAGAATAAAATAACTCAGACAAGAGGAAATCGCGAGGACTTTCTGCCACATAATGACGCATTTTTTTGAGATTTTAGGCCATTTGAGACATTTTTTAGTTAATACTTTACCTCTAACAGTGGAATGTCCTCTAAAAATCATTCTATATACATGTAATAATAGGCTACACTGAAATGCAATTTATCACAAATCAAATAGATTAGAGAGAGGGAGAAAAATCACACTTCACATTTGTCTAAAAATATATCGACCTTATGTTAAAATTAAAAATGTGAAATCTACACATCCAGATTTTGACATAAATTTTCTTATCTCATATCATTATTTTAAATTTGTTTATGCCAAAACAAAGATTCGACAATAAGAGGGAAACAAAAATCTTTGTAAGTATTCAGTCTATATAATACCAATCACAATTTTGTAAAAAGGAATATATTCTAATTAGACAAAATGGCTGTTGGAATATGGTACTTTTGCAAAAAAAAACTTTCTTTACATTCGCGCAAATTATCTTGCGGCGCTAAAAACTATACCACCAAGGATTGTGAGTTATCCATTTTATAATAAAACTTTATATGGCAGTCGTGAATTATCACTACTTTGAACCCCTTAGCGTAAACCTTCATTAAACTGTTGAACCAATTGGTTCAACAATCAAGTCGAAATTTAATCGCACCGGGCGGCTTGAACTTGAGCCCTAAAGAATTTCATTTCCTTTTCGTCAGAAAATATATGCCTAATGTAAAAGCCAAGGTAACAAAAATACAACAAGGAAACCCTTAATTTTTTTCCCTTTTCAATCTACGCCTATGTACTTTTAAACGTCTAACGACTATTTTCCGATTTTCTTTTAGGATAAATGGAAAGAACTTTTCTCATACAGTCACCCTATCTACTAATATGTGCATCCTCCGTGTCCCTACAGTTGAAATTGTTGTCTCTCCGTTCAGTGCTGTTTGAAGACTGGCCCTGTTTACACGTTATCCCCTTCAACGGATGAAATGGAACACAGAAAAATCAGCCAATCCATTCGTTTTCGCTCGATAACGGATTTAAACCAAAAGACATTGAATCATCATGGTTCATAAAAGCCATCCAGTCCCTGGACCGTCAACAAAAAATTAAATTCGCCAACTTGGCAACACCGAACATTACTGGTCTCTCCCGCGGTTCAATGCCTTGGTTTGCGATACACCAATCGGACTTTCCCTTTTACATTATTTGAAATAATTATTTCATTCAATTCAATGATCTTCTCAAGTGGGACAGAGTTGCTCCAAATTGATATTTATAATAACCTCAAATTAAAACATTATATATTGAACATTTTTTACGTTAAACGCCATGTTTTCAAAATTATGCAAAATATATTTATATTTTGAATATTAGTTTTTGGTTCCGCAAATGGTAAGTTGAAGTACAAAAGGGCGGACAGGAAACGTTAAATTTGCAAGATGGTGATGCTTTTGGTGTTCAATCAATCATTCAATTCATTAATTTTTTCAAGTGGGACAGACTCCAAATTGATATTTATAATAACCTCAAGTTAAAACATTACCAATCCAAGATACATATTTAACATTTTGTACGTTAAACGCCATTTTTCAAAAATTATGCGAAATAGATTTATGTTTTGAATATTAGTTTTGATTACAGATTTTTTAACCACAAAACCTTCAAAAAAACGTCCGACCTCAACGACGAGGATCGTAGATAAAAACAGTTCCGCAATGGTTTAAGTTGAAGTACAAAAGGGCGGACAGGAAACGGTAAAGCTGCAAAATGGCGACGCTTTCAATTCAATTTCTCCAAATTGATATTTTTAATAACCTCAAATTAAAACATTACTAACCGAAGAAACATATTTAAAAATTTTACGTTAAACACCATGTTTCAAAAAGTATGAAAAATATTTAAAAAAAAAAAAAAAACGTTCAACTCCAACGGTGAGATTGGCAGTTTACCAATGGTAAGTTGAAGTTCAAAAGGGCCGACAGGAAACGTTAAATTTGCAAGATGGTGATGCTTTTGGTGTTCAATCAATCATTCAATTCATTGATTTTTCAAGTGGGACAGACTCTCCAAATTGATATTTATAATAACCTCAAGTTAAAACATTACCAATCCAAGATACATATTTAACATTTTGTACGTTAAACGCCATTTTTCAAAAATTATGCGAAATAGATTTATATTTTGAATATTAGTTTTGATTGCAGATTTTTTAACCACAAAACCTTCAAAAAAACGTCCAACCTCAACGACGAGGATCGTAGATAAAAACAGTTCCGCAATGGTGTAAGTTGAAGTACAAAAGGGCGGACAGGAAACGTTAAAGCTGCAAAATGGCGACGCTTTCAATTCAATTTCTCCAAATTGATATTTTTAATAACCTCAAATTAAAACATTACTAACCGAAGAAACATATTTAAAAATTTTACGTTAAACACCATGTTTCAAAAAGTATGAAAAATATTTAAAAAAAAAAAAAAACGTTCAACTCCAACGGTGAGATTGGCAGTTTACCAATGGTAAGTTGAAGTTCAAAAGGGCCGACAGGAAACGTTAAATTTGCAAGATGGTGATGCTTTTGGTGTTCAATCAATCATTCAATTCATTGATTTTTCAAGTGGGACAGACTCTCCAAATTGATATTTATAATAACCTCAAGTTAAAACATTACCAATCCAAGATACATATTTAACATTTTGTACGTTAAACGCCATTTTTCAAAAATTATGCGAAATAGATTTATATTTTGAATATTAGTTTTGATTACAGATTTTTTAACCACAAAACCTTCAAAAAAACGTCCAACCTCAACGACGAGGGTCGTAGATAAAAACAGTTCCGCAATGGTGTAAGTTGAAGTACAAAAGGGCGGACAGGAAACGTTAAAGCTGCAAAATGGCGACGCTTTCAATTCAATTTCTCCAAATTGATATTTTTAATAACCTCAAATTAAAACATTACTAACCGAAGAAACATATTTAAAAATTTTACGTTAAACACCATGTTTCAAAAAGTATGAAAAATATTTAAAAAAAAAAAAAAAAACGTTCAACTCCAACGGTGAGATTGGCAGTTTACCAATGGTAAGTTGAAGTTCAAAAGGGCCGACAGGAAACGTTAAATTTGCAAGATGGTGATGCTTTTGGTGTTCAATCAATCATTCAATTCATTGATTTTTCAAGTGGGACAGACTCTCCAAATTGATATTTATAATAACCTCAAGTTAAAACATTACCAATCCAAGATACATATTTAACATTTTGTACGTTAAACGCCATTTTTCAAAAATTATGCGAAATAGATTTATATTTTGAATATTAGTTTTGATTACAGATTTTTTAACCACAAAACCTTCAAAAAAACGTCCGACCTCAACGACGAGGATCGTAGATAAAAACAGTTCCGCAATGGTTTAAGTTGAAGTACAAAAGGGCGGACAGGAAACGGTAAAGCTGCAAAATGGCGACGCTTTCAATTCAATTTCCCCAAATTGATATTTTTAATAACCTCAAATTAAAACATTACTAACCCAAGAAACATATTTAAAAATTTTACGTTAAACACCATGTTTCAAAAAGTATGCAAAATATTTAAAAAAAAAAAACGTTCAACTCAAGATTTGCAGTTTACCAATGGTAAGTTGAAGTCCAAAAGGGCCGACAGGAAACGTTAAAGTGTCACCAGGTTATTTGGTGCGACATCTATCAGGCTTATCCAACATTTCACTTTAATAACATTTTCAGTCTCACTTTAATTAAATAAAAACAATCTTTCTTGTGGACACTTTTCAAAAACGTTTTGGGGAAGGAGAGGAAACTCCGTCCCATTATCTTGGCAATAATGCATGTAGAGAAAACCGATCGATGCAAATCATGGCGAAAAATGATAATAAATGGCGAACTGGCAAAAGCAAAATCAAAATTACCTTATAACGGGATAAAAACTTGAAATCGCCTCGTTCTGGGAAATAATTCTGCAAAATACCTTGATGAAAACAAAGAAAAAGAATAACGGTAAATAACCTAAACAAAAAAACGTAAAAAATATAAAAAAAGCCAAAGCAGTGCCGTGAAAAAATGATGTGCGCCTATGGTGTAATCGGAGGTTGTTTTAAAAATATAGTTACCTCCACGTTTCAGTTTAATATCCTTGGATATTCGGCGATCTATCGACGAGGACTCGGAGCTGTCGAGGGCTTCGGCCGAGTCCGGTGTATTACCGGTCGAATTGTTAGGCGACGAGCCGTCACTGAGCAGGTCCCCCGATTTCGCTTCCGAATTGACCATCGACCAGGGCCTAGGTTTGGGCGCCACTGCCGGCGACGGTTTCAATTTGAGAAATTTAGTCGACTCCGAATCTTCTGCAATATAAATTAAAAATATTAAATATCAGTTCGGAAAACTTGGTAAACAAATTGTTATTTTTTGTGGTTTCGAAATTATGCACAGTGGATCCGTAACAAATGTATATTAGAAAAGAAACAGTAATTCGAAAACACCTTGCAAGGTGCTTTTCTTTCCCAACCTTAAGCCTGAGCCGGGTACATTCATAGTAACAAAACATCCTCTTCTTCTTATTGTTTATTATTATTTTATGAAGTTGCGCAAGGAGCCATTGTTCCTTTAGATTATCCCCAGACGATAAGCTATAGCCTTTGATGACATTTTTGCTGATGAATTTTATTCGTTTCAAATTTTTGATTATCTTCAATTTGAACAGTCAGGCGCCGTCACCAGAACCGGATTGAAGATAAAATAAAAAAAAAATAGTTTAAACAAATTAATCCGCGCATATTCCACTAAAAAAATGTCTTCACGCACAATGTTGGGTTAAGTTCAGTACTTAACTGGAGGAGCTTGGGGTCAGTGATTTCTCATTCAGTCAATCAAAAGAAACCCTTTAGAAGCTACACTAATTCATGCTAATAAAAGCACTAGCATTATTTATTACTATAATGAATATATTACCATTTACAAAACTTCTGGGCTTAACTGAAACTTTTTCGGAATAATTGGCGAAACGTTATCAAGTTCGACACAACAACAACTGATGCAGGAGGAATCCAGAAGTTTTGTAAATAGTATTACAGTAGCCTGTGGCAGTTTCTTTGAAAAAAAATAGAACATATACATTAATAAAATTTGGAGAGGCAAGTACGTCGGTAATGGGCGAATGTCCTTGGTTGACGTGCCCACTTTAAGGAAAAGCAAAAAAGAAGAAGAGTCAAGTACGTCAAAATTGAACAAAACGTAATATACGCAGCTGAAGTTAAACAGTCCTTTGTACACACTAACATTCTGAAGTATTTGTAAAGTTTAAATCGCATTTTTTTTACATAATCATCGATGAGGGTACCTTTAGATAGAGTGCTGCTTGGCGAATGATCGAATGACGTTTCGGCCGCCAAACTGCCGTCGCTGCTTTCCTGACTCAGCAAACTCTCGCCTGTCAGCCTCCTACTCAGAGGTGAATCGCCGGTGTTTTTCCGTAACGACGACGGTGAAAACTTTTCCAAGTTATCGATCGACCTTGACCTTGGAGTGGGCGTCATCAAGCCTTTCAACATAATAATACAATTTAAAGCAAGGACAATAATATAGAAATACTTTGGAAGTGACTCCAGTTGGAGGATGAAAGTCCAAACCAAAGTCTATAAATTTCACAATATCTAAATCCTTTTCTAATAATAATAATAATAATAATAATAATCTAAATATGAAGCAGGAACAAAATAAATCAGTTAAATCGTTTTGTTTGAGAATTTTAGGTTAGAGTTAGAATTGAAAGATTGACACCAGAAATTACTTTTCGGACTGTTAGGTTAGAATTATAGATTATTATTATATATAGCCTTAAAAATTACTTTGATCCGAGTTTAATCCAACGAGAGAAGTAAAAATTCAACGGTAGATAACAAAAACGCAGTTAGATCGCGTTTAAAACCTAACCTAGATAAAATTTATTAAAATAAATTAAACACTAATTTGGTAAACTATGTTTACCTCTCAACAGGGGTGAGTTCCGGCTGAGTTTCGGAGTTTTTCGGTCATCGCTCAAATTGGGCGACGCGAATTCGTGATTGGGGCTACCGTCCGCTTGGAACGAGTGACAGTCGTCCGAAGTGGGAGTCACCGAACCCGGGCGGAAGAACGTGTCCAAACCTTCGACCAAATCCTGACGACGACAATAAGATAGTTCGAGAAACGTCTGTCGATTCTTAATCGTTATTAACTATAGGCCACAGTTTTTCCAACTTTTAATAGAAGAAAAGGGAAACTAATAATTTACAACTTAACATCTCATTCCGCATGAAATAATACTGTTATTATACGATGAACGGCGTAAAAAACGAAGGTTAAATAAAATAAATATAAACTATAATAAAAAAAATATAATAAAGATTAATAAAATAAGTAGTTAGAAAACACTTCCTTCAGAATTCAAAAAGGTTTTTTTTTAACTTATCACCGAAATGGTTTAGCTTGGCTAATTGAAATTTAGACCACAAACACATTTGACTAGCCCATAAAAGTTACACAATTATTATTATTCCGCGAGATGGTTGGTTCTCACATATGAAAATAACATAAAATGATTTGTTAATTCAGACACAATTACACGTTAAAACCTCAAATAACTCGAGACCCAGTATTTGTTTTAACTTTAAACGAGAACATCGTTTTTATGGAAAAAATATATATCGCCATAAAACAATTCTTTGCTAAATAAGTGCCCCCCTTTCTCAAAGCTCCTATTCAAAATTTTAAAATTTTCTCACCGGTAACTTTTATGACCCAACCAAGGGTATTTGTGGTTTAAATTTCGTATAGGTATCCTAAACAGTTAAAGAAGTAATTAAAAAAAAATTGTGACCCCTTTAACATACTTGAAGGCTTGATAGTAAACGGATTTTTTTTTTTAATTTTTTCAAAAATTATTTTTTTTTTTTGACATTTACCTGAGACACCGAGTCCGTCACGTCAGGCGGCTTAACCACCGGCCTCGTAGGCGCTCTAGTTTTCGCTCTCCTCGGACGACCTTGAAACAATATTAAAGCCGTCGAAAATCGTTGCCCAAAACTCCCAATTGATGAAAAAATGATTTTGATTAACGCAAGAAAAGATGGTAATGGAGGTGCGAAACTAACCTTTATTCAGAAAAATACCTTTCACTAGATGTTGGAGGTGGTGACTGGCGTTGGGCAATTCGGTAACCGAATCTTCTTCTTCAGAGTTGCCGGGCAACGAGGGAAGAAGGCTTGGTATATCGTCGGCGGACAGGCCTTCCACGCTGTCTACGACCGATTTGGGTCTTAATTTGCGTCCGTGCACGCTCTTTCGTTTCACGGAGAGGTGGGGAGTTGCCTAAACAAATATTAATTAAATTAACTACCAAACACTGAACTTTAGAAATCAAAGTCGCAAAAACACCCGTACTTACTAAGTTCAAATACTCCAATAACTGCATGAAAACGAAAAAAATACAAGTTTTATAAAGGCGAAACGACACTGTCCGAGTTACACCTTACCATTGGTGAGTGGTCGCTCTGGTGGCTGCTGTCGGTAATCGAAATATCGCTCGCCCCGTGACGCGAACTACCCGAGCTGCTTAACCTAGATCGACGAAGGGGCGAATCTATCCTAATCGCGCTCGCGTCGCCCACTAATATCTTATAACTTTTCATCAGCGCCTCGTACACTTCGTCGGTTACCTGCTCCGATAACTGCGACGCCATAGTCAAGTTTAATTCCCTAGAAGAAAATTGCCCTCGAAAATTCTTCTCATTTTAACTACACATGTCTCGTTTTCGTTTAAACTTGCGCTTTGAGACTTCAAACAATAAGAAAATAACGTAAATGCTTTATTTTACCCCGTAAAATTTCTTCTTCATTCCGCTTACAACCTAACCTACATCGTAAACATGCGCTGTTCATGTCGTGAAAATGGAACTCGCCAAATGGTGAAATAGAAGAAATATTTCCTTATTTTAATTTCATATTCGTTGTCTTGGATAAAATGTACGATTTCAAACGAAACAAAAATAACAGAAAACGCTTTACTTAGTTCAACGTGATCGTTAGTGATCGCTCCCCGTAAAATTTCTTCTTCGTTCTATTTTCAACCTAACCTAAGTTGTAAACATGCGTTGTTCGCGTTGTTAAAATTAAACTGCCTAAATGGAAAACGAAGTGATGGAATGTAACGCGAGCACTAAGCGGGAAGCGCCGAACGTACTGGTAACTGGCACGCCGGGCGTTGGAAAATCGACGCTGTGCAAAAAACTCTCCGAATTAACGGGCATGCAGTGGTTGGAAATATCCAAAGTGGCAAAAGACAATAACTGCTTGGAAGAATACGACCAGGTGTACCAGTGCCCGGTATTAGACGAGGATAAACTTTTAGACGGCTTGGAGGAAACTATGAATCGGGGCGGCAATATCGTCGATTATCACAGTTGCGAATTTTTTCCAGAAAGATGGTTCGATGCCGTCTTTGTATTAAGAACAGATAACACCACACTATATGATAGATTAACGGGGAGAGGTTACAGCGGGAAAAAGCTGGAAGATAATATAGACTGTGAAATTTTTCAAGTTATTTTGGACGAAGCTAACAATTCTTATAAGCAAGATATTGTTCAGGAATTAACCAGTGTGTCATCTGAAGATTTGCAGAAAAACATTGAAACAATTTGCTTGTGGCTGCAACAGTGGTTTCAAAATAGCGGTGCGTGATAAGTAGAAAAACATGATCAAACTACAATTTGTGTTTACCTTATCCTATTCATGATATCCACTCCCGCTTGATGCTTAATACAGCTGGTCACAACATCCAATGGAATGTTTTTTTTCCTTTTACACTCTTTTTTAATGTCTTGTACTGTTTGGTCATCGTGCAACACATAAGGGCACTGCTCCTTGCAGCATTTCAGCATTTTATCTGCAGTTGTCTAAAAGCATTGCAAAAATATACAATTTGGACATCCTATTTTAGCCAAGACGAGTTGATACCTGAATATATTCACATATACTAGTGTAAATTTCATTGGATACATGATGCAATTTCTCCTCCACCGGGTTTTTGTCGTTTCTGTGCTGCGCCACTTCTTGCAACCTCACCAGCAGCTGCTTGCAATTTTCCGCGTCCTGTATGACGTCGGTCGCGTGATTTATATCGTTGTTTGAATTTATGGAATCGGCGACCAAACTGTTAATGGCCTCCTGAGTTTGGGAAACTAACCTAAATGTAAATGTGTTTAAAGCTTTAAATATGGTTTCCAAAGAAGACCGGACAACATTTATTGCGGCCACCGTGAAAAGCAAAGAACATTTCAATCAATTCTGTGGGGCACAATTCTATGGGTTGCCTGGTTTTCTTTCTTATACTATCGCTATGCAGTGAACTCATTCTATCGAACTGGAATGGCCCTGATAATGCAGCCAATATGGATTATTTTATTTAGAGCGAGACAGATGTCACGAGGATTGCTTTCTTTGTCATACTAAGCGGTTAGCACCTAAAAACAAATTTATATTTTTGTTTGATGTTCGTGAAACCGTTTTAGTTTATTTAAATAATACAAAAAAGTAGATAGCCTGATCAACTCCAAACAAAAATGGTCTATTCAGTTTTTTCGCTAAAATTAGCCGTTTTGGAACAAGTTGGAGCGGAGATTCAACGTCTTCCACCATATCACTGCAATGTGAATCCGATAGAACTGATATGGGGACAGCTAAAACCCAGTTTAAGAAGAATAAACGCCTCACCGAAATTTAGTTCTAAGGCAATAGAATTAATTAGACATGAAGTGTAAAAAATAGAACATAGAACAACTTTTTTTTATACATATTCTAACAAACTTACTTCTTCATTTATATTTATAATAAACATTTTAAAGAATGGATTTTTCGCAGCATAATAAGGGAAGAATCTCCCGATGCAACTTGCCTGCGGTTAGATCTTCATAAAAAATTAAGCAAAGTTACGTATTATGCGTATTATGTCGTAAAAACGGTATATCGTTGGGCGAACTCTACACAAATTTAGCGAGATAAAGGGAACAATCCCCTTAACTAGCCGTCTTTTTGCTATTCCAGTTTAGATCTAGCTCACTATCGCCATTTAGGTACCTATCTAGCGCCTGCTGTTTCGATGTCAGTAAGAATCCGGCCTGCAAAGGCATCACCTTCGTCATGTGTTGCTTATAGGAAACGTTACGATTCAAAAGATCCTGAATTTTCCTCATCACAGTATCCGTTCTTTCCGCGGACGCTTTCATGCATGGCGTAACGTCGAATATCGGGAACGGTATATATTGCACGGTTCTATTGCTTTCAAGGGCGTACGCCAAATCGTTGTACCCTTGCAACGTAATATTATTCCTATCCAATATGATTGTACGTAGTTTACTGTTGATCTGCAGCGCTTTAGCTAACAGTCTAGCACCAGAATCGCCTATCAAATTACCACTAATATCTAATAATTCTAATGACTTGTTGTCGCCTAGGGCGTTTAATAAATTGAAAAGGTCCGATCTTAATCTACAATCGGGCACCACTAAGGACTGTAACAGACACTCGTCGTCTTGGACTATTTGCACCACCGAATCCATTATCAGGGACATGTGTTTTTTCATGCTGCGGCCCATGTTGAGGTGCTTCAACGATTTATTCTTACTTATGGCTAGGACGACGTTACACAAATCGGAATCCATATCTAGAAATCCCCGAAGACGATTTGGTGAATAGCGTGAGAAAGTTTAATCACGATCACTTACTGTTGTCAGATATATCGAGACTAGAGATACAACGAACTCCGTGTATGCACGACTCTAGCACGTGGGCACCCTGACTGCCCAATCCATTATTACTAATATCTAAACTCATTTCTTTGGTAAATTCGTTACAGGCCAATCCCAGCAATAAGTTTCTGAAACAACATGTTCGTTTCACACTTTTGATCCGCCATTTGAACCCAAGAACACTATCGGACAGAGGATATCAAACAAGTTGTCAAAAAGTCTGAAACTTCAGATAAACAAAAGTCTCATACTTAGTGGTATTGACGCACCCTACAACTCCTGCTTGCTCTGTAATACAGTGAAAAAGTTTATATGTACTTATGTCACAAAATTCGGAGATACAGGGTGTTGAAATACCGCGGAAAAAAATCGCTCTTTATTTTTAAGAAAATCTAATTTACAGCATAGGTAAACTTGTTTTGCTTTAATCAGTGGCTTTCGTGAAATCATTTGAAATTAATTTAGATAATAAAATTCGGTGCACGTGCAAAAAAAAATTGAATTTTCCTGAAAACGGCTTGTGTTAGGGAAAAAAACTGAGGCACCGTTTTGTCTAGAACCGATAGTATCTAAATTTATTAACAAAATTGCGACAAACCATTGGCGTGCCACCATTTTTATTACCCAAATTAATTAAAACCATCTCACGAACGCCACTGATTAAACAATTTAATTTTTAATTGAAAGCAAAATATTTCAACATTCTGTATCTCCAAAACGAAGCAGTTTTTTTTCTGCGAAATTACAATATACCCATTTTTCTCATATAACACTATTTTACACTCAAAAGTCGTTAACAACTTAAAGTAATGAATTTTGATATCCCCAGCCTCACCAGCGCGGGCTCGGGCACTTACTTCAGGGCTTCCTGAGGCAACTTGCAATGGGACATGTTTAAGTATTTGAGGTTGAGGGTTGTACTGAAGAACTGCTTGAACGAAATTGGAGCCTCTTTGCTTTTTTTACTGCTAAACGGATTTCTGGACACGTTCAAGTGGACTAAATTAGTAGTACAACCCTTAACTAGAGCACCAAAAAGCTGAAATGGGAATGTGTAACACGTCATATTCTGTCAAAGTGGGGGAAAGGGTTAGTTTTTTTTTAATCCGCCAAAAAAATGCTAATGCAATGGTTTCGTTCATTATAACAAGGGCAAGAGTCAAATATTTATTTACACCAATCAATTGAAATGACACTTATCATCAAAGTTCATACTCAATCTCAATTTGTAAATTTGTAAAATTGGATTTTTAATAAAAAAAAAGTATTTGGATGGCATTGTTACAACCATTTTATATTTATATTTAATTTTATACCTTTCATACCTTTGCGTGTGTATTGGATTAGACTCAATTTTTGTACTAATTGAATACAGTGAATTAAAAATTAGTTGGAGTGATTCCCTAAATCGGAATTTGTTTGTTGTCATTTTTTACAACATAAAGCTAATCCCAAACATATTCAATTAATTTTCAAACAACACTTTCCGACTTATCGATAATTTAAAGCCTAATTTTTATTTAATTTTTCCAGGTTTTCCGAGTTATGTCATGATACCTATATGTAAAAAAAAATATCGTTTACAGTGTTGCCACTAATTCAGTTTATTTTATTTTATAACGGAAATAGTTTTCAATATAGTATCATTTAGCTGACTAAATGGCGTTTACTTACATTTTCGAGAATTACATCCGTCGACGAAATATCTATATGCTGGAGAGCGTTCGCTTGAGAAAAAAAATTATGCAAATGCTGAAACAATTTTTTTTAGCGCAAACTACTCCAAAATTGATAGTTAAAGGGGGTAGGTCTTACACTAATGTCGTCCTTAAGACTATTCCCGCTCAGATTGAGGTAAGTAAGCGTTGTAAAGTTACTCGTGTTGCCGCAAAGCGCGTTTGCCATATTGTTAACACCCTTAGAGCTAATGCCGCAATGGGCCAAGTTTAAGTGGACGAATCCTTTGCTGAGCCTGCCAACGCCTTGTCCCAAATAGGAAGCACCTAAAAGGCCAGAAATAATACCTCCCACTCTTCATGGTGGCGGCGAACCTTTATCCTCTATCGGATTGTAAGATAAGTCCAAAGTATGCAGAGCAGTGCCGGGATTCAGCTTCAGCGTGTTCGATAATTTGTTTACAAAATCCGCCTTAAGTCCCAAATTGTCAACATACAACTCCTCCAAGTTTAGCGACTTGCGCAAAATGTGGAGTATTTTATCCATATTGTCGTGGGACAGCTTGATTTGATTCGCCCTCAATTTGGTGAACCAGGTGTTATATTCGAGGGCGCTGATGATAGGTATCAAATCTCTGAAAATTTACTTTATAGATTTGCACCGATCGCCGTAATCAATAAACCATTTTACTTTTGATCTAAATACTCGAAATCCTTTAAGTTCAATTCGCGAGTATTTAGTGACACGTAGATGTTATCGACGTCCCACGCCACTTCCTCCCTGTATGTCATACCGTGGTAATCGCAATAGCACGCGTATTGAGTAGAAAATCCTCCACACGGTCCGACTTCCCTCCTGCTACTCGCTATAGCCTCCAAGTCTCTTAATTGCTGCAGCCTAGTGTTTGGTATGACCTCGAGCTATAAATGATAAACCATTAATCGACGGACTCGACATACTAGCCACGTCCACCTTTCTTATTATGTGCTGCAGAGGTACCGTAGGAAATATATTTCGTATGGCATTGTTCAGGGCACCTATCATATTGTCCACCTCAATGCTGCAGGCCGAATCTTCACCAACAAGGAAAGAATACACCTTGTCGTTGACCGTTAAACTTAACTGGTTACCCCGTTTGCTCTCCAACGCTTGTATTTCCAAGTAGTGGAAGTGCGTGTCAATCTGCGACATTTATAGTTTGTTTTGGTCTCTATTACTTAGAGCTAGTTTGCATACTTACCTTTGTTGGCACCTTTGCTGTGAGCACAAGGATTCGACATGGGGAAAATACCTATAGAATTCATTGTTTATTTTTTGCACTATGTAGAGTTTGGTTGAAAGAGAAAATAACAAAACAATGCTATTCAATGGGACAGAATGGTACAACTATTAATTGCTCAAAAGTTTATATGTAATCAGTACTAGCTACTAGATCACTGCCCCCTTTTTTTTATTTGAGTAAGTTTAGTTGTCACAGTGTAGCAATAAAGTAAAAACATATTTATCACAGAAAAAAAATATATTTTGCATTTTAAATGAAACAATATCTTCTATCACTTAAAACATGGTAACACAACATATTAGGCGTCTTGTAATTTACAAATGTCTTCATACTCCACACCATTGACCTTACGTCCCTGTAAAAGACCAGAAGCGATTTCTATATTTACGCAATATTTTTTTTCGTCCAGAGATAACAACGTAGCAGTCTCTCCTCGGTACGCCCCATTGACAACCTTCACTAGCTTTCCAATCGCAGGAATAACAGTTTCCAAATGCTGCTGATCTAATTTTAATTTCTTGCCACTTTCTAACAGTTTCACTATTGCCGCATACCTATCTATCACTTCCCGAACAACACCTTTTTGTTTGTAATATTCTTCACCTAAAGATTTTGTCATAACCTTGACCACAATACCCTCAACTAACCAGTAATCTTTCCGATTCTGTTTTTCTTTTTTAATCTCCTCTTCTTCCTTTATTTCATCCAGTGCCGTCTTTTTTCTATGATCCATCTTAACTTTTTTTATTTCTGATTTAGTGGCCCCGTCAGCGGGTCTCTTAAACACCTTGTCTAATGGTACAGGACTTGCAGTTAATTTTTTCTCTATCTTTAAATTAAGATCCAATTTCAAAGGTTCCTCTTCATTTTCTCTCACTAATTCAGTATACACCGACTCAGGTGGAGGGCCAGAATTTTCTAAAGCAAATTTTACTTGCTTTTCAATAAACTCCATAGTTTTTTCTTCATCAGTTTTGTCCATCTTTAGTTTTCGCTTTTTTTTCTCTTCTTTTTCCACAGTTTCTGGACTTCGGTCTATGTACGTAATAAACCAACCTTTTTCAGTTTCATCAACAACAGCTTGACCGGTTCCGCCGAGCCATTTAACAAACCCCGTTAGGGTTACCCACCTAGTGCCATTCATATGAATATGATTACGATCAGAAATGTACTCTTGATAAACTCTGTTGGCATTCACTCTTTTACCACCAAATTGTCTTTTTAAAATTGAGATATAACCTTTCGCGAAGTCGAATGAAAAGTCATCTATATACCTCTTGGAATTTTCCGCAAATAATAGCAACTGCCGTTGATGGGACTCCGACATGGTGTGGCACTTGAACCCATTTTCGTCTCTACACTGTTTCTGGCACATCTGACAATACCACCGCAATTTCTGAAGCCCCTTGGCTTTCATTTTGTTCGCGATATATTTCGGGGTACCCACTTCTGCACGTGGCATTTTGATGATATGTTGTTACTTTTTGACTATTACAAAACACAAAAATTGGCAATTGTCTCACAACAATCGCAAAACAATCCAATTAAAACGACAAATGACAGTTGTTGCATTTCGCAGTGATGCCACAATAATAAATCAACTAACTAAAACTCGGAAGAATCTCGTCCCGCGTGTTTATTCGCGTTTCTTGGTACATTACCGAGCTTTTACCGCCAACATTCCCCAAATTAAATGCGTTTAAAACAGGCAAATTCAATGCGAAACTTTAAGGACGGACTGCGCGAGAACGTACTCACAAAAATCCCCTAAATTTGGGCGGCAATTCAAAAATGAGACCTTATCGATTTTGGTCACAGTAGAGTAATTTTGAACCGGAAATGTTAAAGCAATAAACAAAAGCGCAAATGATTATTGAACTCCGCTACTTACCAGGACCCTATTTTCAGTCTTGTCTCCCTTGGTCTCGAGTCGAACGACATTTTTAAAAAGTATTTTTACTTTATTTCCCACTGAAGACTTGATGCTTTCTACTTAAAAAAAATCACATGCATAAGTGGCGATAAAAACAAAACGATGCATTAATTAAGTCAAATATGACCTTGCATTACTCAGCAAAGTTTATACGTATGTGAACAATTTATTTTATAGTTTATAGTTTATACAAAACCTGTCTTTGCTTCAAATTACGTATATATACCTTTTTTAGGACAAAAGAAACACAATTCCATGATAAGTAAATATTATAAAGTATCACAAATGGTATTCTTGATAGCGTGATTTCTTCATTCCGAATTTCTAAATTTGAAATTGCGCTTTGTTAATCGCATCACGCTCAATTGTAATTCATTACCATTAAATTTAAGGTCACTGGGTCATTTTTGAACCGGGGAGATCAAATTTGTTAAGAAATAATTCCAAGAATTGAACAAAGATAAAAAATAATGAATCATTTCAGGCATGAGTAACAAGCATTTTTCTCGGCAATTAATTTCTGGTTGCCTGCCAGATCGAAACCGTAAATAATAACAAACTGGTTTTTATAAACAAGAAACTTTTGTCGTTTTAGACACTCCCCTCGCAAGACACTGTAAACACAATTTTCCGGTATTTTCTGAGTGAAACAAATCTTACCGTTTAAATCCTTGGTGAGCTGCGATCGGGTAGACATAATTCAAACATTCACAACACAAACACATTTAAAAATAAATTCAATTAACCATTTTATTATTTATAATTGTCAGAACATAATAAAACTTCTTTTAACTGTCACTGTCATTTTCCGGGGTTTGGAGCAGAGGTTTAGTGGGTTTTATTTTTGCGACTGTGCCATTCAACGAAATTCCCTAAAAGCTTTGACCTTTGCTAAATTCCAAGCTGAGTAAAGAAGAAGTTGCAAGTATGTTCTTTTATTCGTTCCAATGAATCGTTCTGCTCAAATAAAAATTAAGCAATCGCCGAAAAAGTGACCGATAAAATGCAATTATTTACCTTTTTTGCCGACGCACGATGTACCTTGTTTAATATTGTGTTTGGCGCTTTGACGTATTTTTCGAACGAATAAAAGAACAAGCCCAATAGAACTAACCTCCCGACTTCTATGTTTTTAAACATCTCAATTAAAAAAATTAATTCGCAAAAGTGATGGCGTTAGCAACTTTATGTACATCCAGAAGAGTTCCGTTAAGGTGTAAGTAATTTTTAATATTTTTTTGCTGCTACACTTAAGATCGCAAACGTAACCTCATTTTTTGACATAATTTGTTTCAATACGGTTCTTTTCGTAATGTACCATTAACATGACATCCAACTCTATAACTGGCTTTCCAAGGAGATTGAGAGAAGCTTTAAGTGATGGAAAAACTGAATATGCTGCAAAACTATTCAGTTTGGAGAAAAATGCCAAAGAAATTCTAAACAATTCTTGGGACATCATTCCCGTGCTTACAGAGAATTTAAATATCCAAATTCAGAACGTTAATAACGAAGTATTCAACTGCAGTAAGCACTTGCTAAATGTCCTCAGTGAACAGTCCCAACCCCAAGAAGCATTGTTGCAATTAGTGACTGAACTTGAAGAGGCGAAAGATGATGTGAACTTTGTTGCTTTGTTAGATCCTGTATTTAATATTATCCTTCGAATTCTAGAGAAAAGAGGTAACTCTTTGGCCTGGTGTTTCAACTCCATTCAGGGTTACCTAGAAAAATGTGAACCACCCGATTATAAAAACTTGAATGACAAAGAAAGACTTTTTGTGGAAAACAATCACAACGCGAAGAGAATCATTAGACTTTATGACGAAGTGTTAGTGTTCTATAACAAAATAGCAAAAAATTTTAACAGTTTCGATGCTGAAGCGCAAAGTGTGGTGCAAAAGTTTTTAATTCAGTTGTTAGGAAAACCTCTTTGTTATTTGTCAATGGAGAAGTTTGGGGACATCAAAACCCGAGCAAGAGGTTATGCTGAAACTATTGTTGAAATGATTTCGGGTACCTTGTCGGATCCGATTGTGTTTCTTGAATACAAGCAGGACAAATTTAATGATGAATTAATAGTTCCTGGTTCCTTAGGATTGGCAAATTTATTTTATCTATTATATGGTGAAGTTGTTCAAATTGATAACATACCCAAAGTTTATCATCCTGTTTATATATTTCAAGTTTGTTTACATCTTTTGTATGTATTACTGGATCAACAAAATCAAATATCATCTGAGAAAGGGTTGAAATTAGGTGAATTTTTGTTGCTCCAAGTAAAAGACACAAAACTGAGTTATTTGTTGCTGGGGTCCAAAGATCACAGCCTTTTTTGTAAAGCCTTAACCGATGTTATCGTTTATCATCCTTCTAAACAGGTCAGGACTAGAGCGCTCGACCTATTCAAATGCTACTTGCTAGCGTTTGAAGTGCGCGCAACTTATTTGATTATTTTTAATTTATTGGACACGTTGACACATTCGGGGCTTATGGGTTACATCATAACTATATACAAAGACCTACTGAACAAGGCATTGTGTTCAGGAAAAGATGATTCGTTGAAATATTTTAAGGGACCCAAATTATTTAGGCTTCTAAGAAAATTCTGCCATCTTAGTGAAAACGAAGAAACTAATCTAATGGAAAACTCGGATCAAATAATTTCGGCTCTAAATCTATTGCGATATTTGGCATTAAGGGATTCGGAAAATTTGACTGAGGTTTGGGATTTCCTTCCCGATGTAGAGGATATTTTTTTGCAACCACTAAGGAAGGGGATTGAATTGTCACGCGCCCACTACGAATTGAAAATAAAAGAGTTCGACGACGTTAAGAGTGCAAAAACGAGAGGGGACGATATGGAAGTGTCCGTTAGAGTAAATGGTGAGGGTTTGCCTCAGATTAATAAAGAGGACCAGTTGAAAGTGTTGAATTCATCCCTTACCGCTTTGGATGTTATGCAAAGTCTTTTGACCAGGGTTACCGAGTGTGTCGCTAGTAAGTCATTGTAGCTTTTGTATTTTCTTTGATTATAACATTATTAAAACCATTTGTGTGTTCTTAACGATAACATCGTACCCGAAGGAGCGAACATAAACAACCAAGAATAGCGATAAACCAGTTGCGCCCCCGTTGCTATGGCGTTAACTCCTAGCATTGTGATCGTTGAGGTTATGTTGACAATAGATTTCACTACCGCCAGTATTTAATGATCTGAGAAGTAATAAACATTTTGCCACCAAACATTGGGAGCATTTCAGGTCTCCTTTGGATATAATAAGGTCATTTGTTTCCTAATATTCCGTTTACTGAAGTTTTTCCAGTGAATGAGATGAAAACTGGCAATTGAATTTAAAATTTTTGGCGCATGCGCGGAAGATCATGCCATTCTCGACGACAAACTGGTAGCCGCATCGCTTTGACATTTTTAATTGGCCTACCGCATTCAATTGAAAAGTACATTTTCACTTTATTTATGATCTGTATATTCAAAATGAAACCAAACAGCAAACCGACTCTACGAGAATCAGTACGCCAACTCTTTGATTTTATGTATCTGTATGGCAAACTATAACCTATAATAAAAGAGTTAATTTCTCTACGTAATTCGACGGAGTAGATTACGTGAAAAAATAGTTTTGGGACTGGGTATTCTGCAACAAAAAACATAATGATGAAGCTAGATAATGAACTCATCAGTGTATTGTGAAATTTGAAAAATGTTTTCATACTTTTTGGAAGGTAGGTATTTTTATTTTCACCCATCTGCCCAAAGTATAATCATAAAGCGTAGCCCCATGCAGATTGCTGAATATGAGTATTAATGGTGACCAATCAGAAAAACGCAGGAAGATGACTCTCTGATTCTCGTAGTAATTGCATCATAGTGGTAGCTATATATTGCTTTTCCGTTCAGATACGCGTACGATATGGATGAAATGTAAAAGAAACTTAGCGGCAAATCAAAGCGGCGAAGATTACGAGGAAGATATCCGGAACAAGATTCTGGAGGCGTCGCTACCATTTGTTTTAGAATTGGGCTGGTCGCGGGAGGCGTTGAGCAGAGGGGCTCAGTGCGTCGGATACCCGGGCATAACGCACGGTATATTTACGCGTGGTGGTGGCGATTTGGTCCACTACTTCAACACGACTTCCAACTTACGATTGCTGGACATATTGAAAGAGGTGCGATTCCGTCGACGACCAACAATTGGACCTTGAACTCCAAGGTGCGTGTTTTAGCTCCGCCATTCGCACGGCGAGCGAGCGATAACGCCGGGCCAATTCGCAGAGACGGCGATTCGCGAACGTCTGAAGATGATAGTGCCCTACGTCAGCAGGTGGCCGCAGGCTATAGCCGTGATGTCCTTACCGCCTAACGTGCCGAATGCATTGGCAACACTGCTGACCATGGTCGACGACGTGTGTTACTATGCAGGAGACAGGTCGGTCGACGTAAGTCTTAACACGTAGCGATTTTTTAAACACAGGTTAACGTTTCGTTAATAACGAATACCTCCTATTAACATTAACATTAAAGTTGAGAAAGCAGCGGTTTACGGAGGCATTCAGTGAATTAATTCAATATTAATGCCGCGTGCTCATAAGTTATTTTTCTTTATGGTAAATAATTACATTACATTCCAAAAATTCTTTTTGCGACGTACGCAATCGATTTTGCTTTAATGAAACTGCATGCTCATGGAGTCACCGAAGAACCATTCAAGATTTTGCTCTAAACTTTAAGTAAGTAAGTGTCAATGGATGTTTGCATGAATTCGCCCTAAAAGCCGAGAATGTAGGCACACAAAAAGTAAAGAATTCTAAAAACAAACATACCCACGAAAGAAAAAATAGAAATTGTAACAAAGGCTAAAACAAATTCTAATCAAAGTTAAATACTTTGGTTTGACTTGTTCATAGAATCCCAACCTTATGAAACCAAGAATGGGGAACTTTGTCTTATTTTTTCAACAATTATGTTTTTAAGGTTAGGCACTTATACATAACCTATAAAATGTTTCAGCTTTGAGGATCCACTGCCACTGTCACAAATTAGTTTAGTTATTAGTTTTCTTCAAAAAGCATTTGGATTCAGTGAACTCATGATAAAAAAAAGTGAGGCAAATTTTACAATAGACAAAGTAATATGTATTGTTGTCTTTCCTATTTGTCTTTTTTTTACTAGTTGTCTTTGTATTTGACTATACAAGAGTTAAGATATTCTAATTTCTTAGAAGACCGCATATAAAGTGATATATAGTAATTTGAAATATTTAAGTCTTTCTAATTAAAAGTTATTGGTTAGAAGATTTCTAGAAAATGTTTTTATTTGTGATTTGTGATTACCTTCGGCAATCATGTGGGGGCTAGTTATGGTTATTTTTGTCTGTGCTTCATAGTTCAATTGGTATATTCGACGGGTGGGCGTGGCAGGAGTATACAAGGCCACCGAACTCTACCTGATCCAAGATAAATCGCCCGATCAAATCGACACTTGGGATTTTTTAAGACGTAGGATGGAGGACGCGGTTCAGTTGAACGCCATTATCAGCAAGTCCGATATCGCCAGTCAGGGAGCAAAAGACGTTGCCAAGTCGGCCTTTATAACGGTATATTTAATGAATTGCTCCTCGGATAGTGCGAAAATTGTGTAACGTTTTTAGGCAAGGAATATTCTGGGTTTGAGTTGGAACAGGTAGTCCCGGAAGATGGTATTTTTCTGTACCTGGTAACTTTTAAATGTATATATTTGTGTTATGAAAAAATGCAACATTGAAATTATAGCGTGTTTTTTTAAATATAAAATTGGGGATTTTATATCAAAGTGTAACTGATCCCCACGGAGGGGAATAGATTATAAATTAAACGAATTCAATTAATTATATGGACGAGTTGCACTGGCATATTGGCATATCTTACAACAGATAATAAAACAACTTCATAGACTTCTAGAAAAAAAAACTAAACATGTTTATTCCTCTTCAAATAAAAAAAATTGTCGCTTATTTATTTTTATTTAAAAATCGGTTTATCACATTGAAAATCGTAAAAATAGGGACTAAGATAAAAATAAAATAACAAACTCTAAAATTCAAAAAAATATAAACATGAAAAAGTGTAAAGCCTTGTAAAATAGTGTTACAAGGCGGCTTCTGGGGAAAAAGTTACTTTAGGAATCATTTAACTCCTAATGACATAACAAAACCTACCGAATTGCACTTACTATTGTTTCTATTTCACTTAAATCACAAAAACTCAATATATCATCTCTTCCTTCAAATAAGACCTCAGAGCTATAGGCAAACACAACTTGTCAATATCATTCAAGTTAACATATTGTCTGATAACAAAGCGAGACAAATTCTGTAAGGACCTAACCTCCTCGTACCTTGAAATGGGATTTGTTAATCTCACTGGATAATTCGGCATATTGGCGGCCCGATTTTTTGTGTAACAATAAATTCCGTTTCGCGACACTTCCATTGCTTGCTCGATCAATTCCTTAACACTTGAATAACCATCATGGTCAAACAGTTTATAACCGCTTCTACTGGTAAATTCAATTCTTGAATGGAGTGTTATGCCAACACTTCGAAAACTTATTGAAAATATATACCTAAAAACCTCACTGTGTTCTAACTACCTGCCATTTTTAATTGCTTACCTATCAGATGAAGAATCTCTAACAAGGAAGGAACCATCACATGCTTCCGCTAGTTTAGCCTCAACTTGTACTCGGGAAGCTGGTCCCCAGTACCAGACACAATGTGCAAGGCTGGACACATCATTCCTAGGAACACTGCCAGTAACAGATACTCCTCTCTCATCTAACACTGCAGATATACCACTTTCTCTTGTCATATACCTTAAAGGGCTTATTGTGGTATCTGTAGTTTGGTCCAATAATGGAGACTGAAAAAATTTCTAAGTTAAACGCTCAAGCATAATTCACTACATACCTTTGTTTCCCTTTCAATACTTAGTGGATCCAGGGAATAGATATTCTCTCTATTAACACTCGTTGATGACAACACGACCTAGTAAAAAAAAATTACAACCACTTTCCTAAATTCAGCCAACTTACTCTAGAATCTGATGCAGCAGGTGCAGGACAAATAGTAATCTGCCTGCCATTTACATGTCCGTTTTTCGAAAAACAGTTTTTCATTCTTCTATGCCACTTTCTTAAACTTTTTCTTAACTGGCTTCCTGATCTTCTGAGTGGTGTCATTTCATCCAAAGAGTTGGCAGTTAAATTTCTTCGGAAAACTACCACATTCGCATTATTCTGAGCGCTACCCCCCTTAGGCGAGTTTCTGTTGCTTACATTTACGGTATTAGATGTATTATTACGTTTCCAGAGTTTTAAATATTTAAGGCTACAAAGTAACCCTTTAGTTTGTTTATTATTGCCTGGATCCATAACAATATTAAATAAGTAATGCGAAGAAAACGATCTTGGTCGGTGTTGTTATTATCATGTGTGCTAAAAAATTTATAATTTACAATATCTTCAAAAGATCAAATATTTAGAGTATTTAAAATAGAAAAGAAAATCAAAAAACATACGAGACTCACCATAGTACATTCGTTCTCTTCAATCAAAGTTGAAAAAGCTACCAGGGCCATTCGCTCACCAATAGAAAATTTAGAATATATTCTTCTTCTTTAAGAATTGCTAACATATTTCTGGTCAATATTTTAAATAAACAAATTCGATTTTAACCTTGTTATTTTAAAACAACGTGTTTAGGAATCATTTTCAAAATTTGAATAAGCATCTCATACTTTTTTTTACCTAACTGGCTTGCTATCACGGCTTTTTAATAATCATTCTCGCTATCTTCATTGCAATTCCTGTTTTGTTTAGGGCTCTGATGACAGCCGCTGTCATGTGCATTGATTATGTTAAATTGTACGATTTAGGTTTAAAAACCTAATAGTTTAAGAGACATTATGTGCATTCCTGCTTTTAAACATTACAGAGCATTAGGGGAAAATGTACTGATTGAAATAGGGGCGGAAATAATTGCTAAAACATGGATGTACAGGCGGCTCAAGAATTTGCGCGACAAAAAAACTGGAAGAAAGCAGTAGAGTCTTATACGAAATTCTTGAGGAACAAGCATAATTCAATCGATCTCGTCATATCCTCGCTGTATGCTCGATCGGAATGCCTATTTGAGTTAAACAATTACTTGGCAGTTGTAAATGACTGCAGAAGTATCATTCAACTGACTATAAACCAAAATGACCACATAACGTTTTTGGCGCGAAAGAAACTCGTCCAAGCATTGTTTCTTTTACAAAAATTTGTAGGTATGGCTTCGTCGAAAAGTGCTACAAAGTTTTGTTGTATACTGTTTACTTTTATCTACTCAAACTTTTTTTTGATAACTGATAGGAATGACTTATTCAGATGCCGAGGTCGCTGTAAAAGAATGGCTCTCTTTACTGCCCCAGGACGACACTGAAGAAAACAAAGAAACCCAATTAATTTTGCAAGGGTTGCTTCAGACTTTTGATTTTGGTGTTGGTTCTAAACAAAAATTTACAAATTTGATGAAACTCCTAGAAGCTAGATTAACAGCAACCAATAACAACAGCATTTTTAACACAAAAAACAAGGTCTTTATATTAATAGGGTTTATATTTTTTTCATATTAACATCATGAGTTTATTTTAGATGGAAGGAAGGCCCGCATCGTTGGTTTCATGCATCTACTGTAATGTTTCTTTCGTTGACAAGATGGACTTGCGGACTCATTGCCAGACTGAACTGCACGAAATGATGATAATGTCAGACGATGGCCATGATTGGTACTGGAGACCACCCCCAAGGGGTTTCAAATCTGATACTTATGTGTTGTGTGCTAATTGGAGAGAAACAAGCAGTTGTAGGTAAATGCAATTATGTTTTTTCAATAGTGTAAACTCATTTCCTAAAATCATATATTGCACTCTTTTCCATCTAGTTTGTGGTTAATCAGGAAGTTCATACAATAATTTACAATATTTTGAGAGCAAGACAATGATGTACTATTTGGCTATTTGTTATAGAGAAAAATTATCAAACATATTGGGAAATTAATTTTTTATGTTTTATAGTTATTTACATAAAGAATACTATCCTTCAAAGGCCTGTCAGCTATTTTTCAACTGCAGAATACCTACAAATATATTTCAAATCAGAAATCAGTTAGTTGTATTAATTTTTAAAATATTATTCTTAAAGAGTACTCAGTTTTTTTAATTTTATTACTTTTCGTTATTTTTTGTTAACATTTCTGATGTGATATATGTTTTTGATGTTTAAAAAAAATTAAGATGTATGCCTTATATATCAAAAAATGCAAAAAACACTATTCTCCTCCAGAGATATGATCAGTTATGGAAACCTGATTGATATTGATAGCCAAACTTCCAATTATTTATTAATTATGAAAAAAAAGGCAACTCAATCATTGGCTTTAGTGTCATAAAAAAACAATCTAAAAATATTGCTTTAAAGTCATTGATGTACTGGATACTGGTTGGATATCGCAAAACGCCCTCTAGTGTGGATATAAGCAATCGAAATATACTTGAACACCCCTCACCACTTACCCTTTCTCGAAAAATGAGATAAACATAATTTAGCTAAAATTATTACTGCAAACCAAATCCTAATTATAGGGAAAATCTTAAAAGAATAAAAAACATTAAAGTATTTTATTTATAATTTTCATTCAACTTTGTTTTGGAGTTTTGCTTCCCCAATGTAACACAAACAGCGGACACAGATAAAAACAGAAAAGTTCAATTATCTCCAGAGTTTCGTCGGGGGCCCAGTATAATAGAAGCTTCTCCAATTTCTTGTTATGCTTTGGGATTTGCAGATACGGCATGCAGTGTGTTCAGGCGCACGGAGAAGACGAGTTGATGGAGTGGAAAGAACGTTTTCGTTATCGGGAAATGAAACTGCAACGGGCTAGAGAAAAAGAGCTTTTCGGTAAAATGGCAGCCGCGTGGCGTTACGCACGCGCACCTATATGTTTTTTTTTCGTAGGTAAGTCGTATACTGAAGAACTGCTCGAGAAGTGGGTGCAGTACCCGAACCCGAACGCACTGATGTGCGACAAAATCGAAGACGTCGAAGACTGTTGCTCTTGCCCGTTGTCGGTGACCGTTTCGTCAAAAAACAGCCTCCACCACTGGACGTTCCTGATGAAAACGCGACGGCCCTTGAAAGCGGTCGCCCTGCTTCAGGACACTCACCGAAACCACTTTTTCATTTCGACAATTTTAGTGAAAAACTGCAAGGTCGACTTGAAAAACGACCAGGAATGGATATCGCAGTTGGCGCATCACGAGTCGTACATGCCGGTCGAGTATCGAATTAAGGTTATGTTCACTACCGGTATCTTCGGCACTTTCAGGCAGTCGATCGTATTTGATTTCTCCTTCGAGCCCGTTTTGGTTAGTTTAATGACGTTATTCCCAAGGAAACCTGACAAGTCCTTTCCAATGTCTAAACAATGGATATAATTCTTTCATAATTAGCGATTTTTAAATAATACGCTGCTTGTGAGGCATTGTTTTCATAAATGTGCCTTGTATGGATTATGATGATATTGCTTTAAAAATAGTTCGTTTGGTATCGTTCGCAATCGATGCCTTTATAGGTTCCTCTGAAAGTTATTCTTAAATTAAAATGTCTATTTGCCTAAATATAGTATAGTGTTTAGTGTTAATTGCCTACGTGTAACCTATAAATGATGTTGATGTAACAAGAAATATTTTTTTGCACTGAATTTTTGAAACGTTGGATTCGTTGATTTGGTGGTTTACATAATCTGCTATGGGATTCCCCAATGGTGATACTGTTCTTTCCTATTAAGATTTTTTCTGCGTATGAATTACGTATTCAGTCAGAGAATGTTTTTTTTTTCACTGTCCGATGGTCATGTGCTTAGAAGGATTGTGTTTTAAAAATACAATGAAATTTATATTTATTTATATATCGCGTTACCTCGCCGTCGAGTCATTTTGAGAACTAAATGGAGTCGATATTTTTATTGGGATTCCCCGAATCGTTAAGTATCCTATTCGGGTATTCCCTGAAGAGGTAAAATGACACGCATAATAATTTATTATAAAATACACATTATTGCAAGTTGGTATTTAAAACACTGATCGAATTTGACTAGTCGATTAGTAATTCAATTGACCAACAATGATTTTTCAAATCAAATCAACTTAAATCATCCTAATCTCAATTTTCTCAATTAAAACCTCGCAACTTTAGCAGAATTTGGAGTTTGCGATATTTAATTTGAAACGATTGTAAAAGTGAATTGCAAACTCTTTTGAAGAATTTTGACATTTTTCTTGGTGTCATTGTCGATTGGTTAACATTTTGCATAGTATATTATGATGTCACTAGGAAAAAAGGGTTACTTTTGACGCTCTTTGTGGTATTTATAAAATACACCATTTTTCGTCTGAAAACAGTTCTAGAAACGTGTCAACTTGTCTATTGGTTGTGGTGGATGACTTGTTGGGTTTCTTTTGTATATGCGGCTGTCTATTACTTTATACGTTTCTATTTATAGGTTAAACATCTTTGCGTGGACGTGGTACCCGATTCGGAAATTGACAAAATAAACGAGATCAGAAAGGAGATCACTTTGTCGATATCGGAAAGGTGGACCGCGACTAACTCTGATATAGTTCACTTTCGATCGAGTTTGGTCAGTTCCGGTAACGACGAGTGGGAGACCCGGTTGAAGGGGATGTATCCGTGTCCGCAAGCGGAAACTTTCGTTTTGTCACACGCGACGTTAGCGGAGAAAAAATTTACAAGAAATAATTACAGGTAAATATTGAGAGACCCGCATTGCCGTGATTGTTCTCTTAGGCTACGACCGCGTGTCACATGGTACATGACGGAAGCAAAGCTAAACTAAATTAAAACTCCGTTTTGCCCAAAATCAATATAAATTCTCCCGACTTCTGATTAACTAACTCACACTACAGCTTATATAAATACAGAAATATACAGCGCGTTTAGGAAATTTGTTTAAAATCGTCTTGTGGATTTTCTAATCTTTAGATAAATGTTGCCAATACAAGTAGTGAATATTTTGACTCGACAAGAACACAATTAAACATACAAGATGTAAATACAAACCAAAACCAAAGGGCGAGTCTAGAACAAAATAATGTAAATGTGGTTAAAATGAGTGGAAGAGTGACTAGAATTCAAGACGTGCGTACAAAAGAGTAGTACAACGAGACACATGTTCAAGGGGCGTGGCAACAACAAAATAATCGATAGAGTGTTCTAAAAGAACAAATGAGAGTGTTAATACAAGGAACATCACACCTAAACGGGTGTGGCAAGAATAAAATGATGGCTAGAACAACTCCCTTGAGGGACTAAAACGAACGCGTAGCGTGGACCTCGCAATCTTGTGCACTTGTTGCGTGAAAAACAATTTGATATTCCGAAAATGTCCAAACCTCGCCTTTATTGGACTTTGAAGATTTTGGACGACGCGGTATGGTATCTACGCCATGGAATTCAATAAGTCACTTCTTCTATAGCAGTGTTACACCCAAATTGCATTATTTTTGTATATCCGTGTGACACGCGGTCCTGTCGTTTGTTAACGACCGCTTGGTTGTCGTTTGAGACTCCTAAAAGAAGACTTCTTTAAAAGATCATTTGGATATACTGAAAGGGTCTCCTTTTCTTCAAGGGAACGTATGCATCAATTACTCTTTATAGAGGAGATGGCACGGTACGACCTCATTGCCCAGTATAATCTCACGACCAAACTCCAGATAGCGCACAGCTACATCCTGTCGCCAAACAGTATGGCGGCCAGTACCGCGAAATACTCTACCAACGGCGAACTGTTCGCCTCGATCGACTTGGGGAAAGAACTATCCGAAGATACCTCAGAGGGCCGGCTCATCCTCATGCACTGTAACACGGTCTACCTCTGTCCCACGCAACTAGACGCCAGTCAGAGAATTAAAATATACGAGGCCTTAATCGAAGACAAGGGAAAGAACACGATCTATTTGAGGTTGTCGAGCGACACAGTGCAAGGACTGCAACTCACTCCGGATTCTGACTTGGAGGTGCAGATCCAGTTTCAGCTCAATCGCATACCGTACTGCGAGTGGCACTACACGCTGGACAAAATGGTCAACTTCAAAACGATTTTTCCCGACACGTATCTCGAGCCCGTCATCCCGTGGTCCCCTTCGAGACAATGGTCACGTACGTTAGACTCCCGGCTAAACATCAAACAAAAAGAGGCGGTCAACGCGATCACGACACCACTGTGTGTACAGTTGCCGCCCATTTTGGTGATCGGGCCGTTCGGTACCGGCAAAACGTTCACGCTGGCGCAGGCGATCAGAAATCTCATCAAAGACTCATCGAATCGGATTCTGTTGTGCACCCACTCGAACAGCGCAGCCGATTTGTACATTAAGGACTACTTGGATAAGTGGGTCGACGAAGGGGAGGAGCACGCGAAACCGTTGAGGATTTATTATCAGAAACGCTGGGTCGCAACCGTCAATCCGGTAGTTCAAAAGGTAATTTAATCGTGACGTCATTGCTAGTAGGTAGGAATTAAGAAAAAACTATGTAATCCTTAAGAGTAATAGGTGGAGCGCCGGCCATTGGTATGGCCTCCCATAAGAGTTGTTGACCTGTTAGATCTTTATGAATATCCTCATCCATTTCTTCTTCTGCTGGGAGTAATGTAAATGACTTCTTTGGTTTATTTTGTTTGTACAAATACAAATAAACAATATAAGCCATAGTCGCAACCTGCTGGTTCTCTAATCAGTCGAATGCAGTGGATGCGAGGTTCTGGGTGTATATTTTGTAGGTTGCCTTTAAATCCTCAAACGCCATGGTTCAGTGTCTGTTCGGCAGTGCTCCTCAGGTTTAATAGTAAAACCCGCAATCTACCTGTGATGTTTGGTCTTTCATAAAGTTTCATCTCTTGCTGTCTCCATTGCATACTCCATAATTTCGCTTTTGCTAAGTTCTGACTGTTGATAATCTTGACTTCGATCTCAGTCTCATTAGGTGTGCTAGAAGAACTGATTGATTGATTGATTAGTGAGCAAGTTCTCTTCTTAGTGGCAGGTGTTAGTGTCTGATCGCGTGTGACAATAGAGTATTAGAATTTGAATTCTATCAGTGAAATACCGCATTGACAAATTGTCAATATACTATGAACCACAGCAAGGCTATTGAGATCATTCTCTATTCATACCAATCGCTGACACAAGGAAAGTGTCGAGTATTGAGATCCTTCTATTTTACATCACAAACTGGCCTAAGCGTCTTTAGTACGGGATGGCGACGACGAATTTTAGTATCAACTATCATATCAAATGGGATTAAGCACGTGTCGGGTTCCTAACAATGTCCCCTTTCCAGTACTGCCTAATATCGATGAGCAACGGCACTCGAAAATTCAACATCCCCACCATCGAGGACCTAATCAAACACCGTATCGTCGTCGTGACGCTATCGACGTCGGTCTATCTATCGGTGATGGGTCTTCCCCAAGGTTTCTTCACTCACATCCTGCTCGACGAGGCAGCCCAGGCGATCGAGTGCGAAACCGTCACGCCCCTAGCGCTGGCCAGCGAGAACACGCGACTAGTGCTAGCGGGCGACCACATGCAACTCGGCCCGGACATATTCTCCCCGTTCGCCAAAGAACGCGACCTTCACATCTCGCTGCTCGAACGCCTATACGATCATTACCCGCAACAGTTTTCCTGCAAGATACTGCTGTGCGAAAACTATCGCGCTCACGAGAGCATCATCCAGTTCACGTCCGAGTCTTTCTACGATCAGAAACTAGTGTCGAGTAGCAAACAACCGAAACACTTTCGATTCTATCCGCTGACGTTTTTCACCACCAGGGGCGAGGACGTGCAAGACAAAAACTCGACCGCGTTCTACAACAATTCGGAAGTGTACGAAGTGGTGGAGAGGGTGGCGGAGTTGAAACGCACTTGGCCCGACGAATGGGGCAAATACACCGACCAATCGATAGGCGTGGTCACCCCATACGCGGATCAAGTGTTCCGCATCAGATCGGAGTTGAGGAAACGTCGCATTGAGAACGTATGCGTCGAACGGGTCCTGAACGTCCAAGGCAAACAGTTCCGGGCTATTATCTTGTCGACGGTACGCACGAGGAAAACGTGCAGCAACGACTCGTCCGCCGACGTCATCGATTACGGTTTTCTGTCTAATTCGAAACTGCTGAACACCGCGATCACCAGGGCGCAGAGTTTGGTAGCGGTCGTGGGCGATCCCATAGCGCTCTGTTCCTTGGGCAGGTGCAGCAAGGTGTGGGAACGGTTCATTCAGATCTGCAAAGATAACGAGAGCCTGTTCGGTATCACGTGGACGCAGCTCAAGCTCCAGCTCGACGGTATCGAGCTGAAAAAGATCTATACGCTGAATCCGCTAGCCCCCGAATTCGTCCCCAGGAAGTACAAAGAGAACGTGGTCCAAGCGATGATACCGCCCGCGCCTGCGCCGGTTATGACGCACCCGGTAGTACCGCCTCCGGGCGTGTCGCCGTTCGGTATACAGGACTGCAGGTTCCTCGCGCCTTTGATATACCCGCCTCAGCCTCGTCCGTTCGTGTTTAATCTGGGACCGGGCGTGGCCGGATTGGTATCACATCCGATCGCGAACGGCTTCTCGCAGCCCATCAGGGTGGTGAACCCCCCTCAGCCGCCTCCGCCTCCGCCTATGATCGTAGCGTCGCGCATCTCGAACCTGCAACCGATCCAGATCGCTAAAACCGTACAACAGCACGTCGCGATAGGCGGAAAACCCAACGGGACGTCCCATAACAAACTGATCCAGTTCATGAACAACGTTCATTTTCCGGAAGCGTCGGTACTGAACGACTGCGTGAACCTGCTGCCTCAGAACATGTCCCTCGCTGACATGCTGTTGCAACCTCCCAGTCTACAGGAGAGATGGTACAATTATCTGAAAGAAGGTACGGGGGAGGAGGCGGCCGAGAAGTTTAGGTATCTGCTTCACACGACTAATCAGAAAGGTTCCAAGGTGCAAGACAGGTTGATATTCGATTGCGCCACGCCCCAGTCCTGCGACTCGCCTACTTTTAACTGGTACGACAGTCCGACGAACCAAATCAACATCAACAAACCGGTTTATATACAAAACGAGACGTCGAACGGACACAATAAAGCGGAACGATTTTCCGTCGCAACAGAAAACGGGAACGCGAGTTCGGTCCCGGAGACGAACGGGGAAGATCACCTGCAGCAGCAGATAAACGAGGTGTTCGCGAACTTGAGTATCGGCAGCAACAGCGACATGAACGACGTGTACAAGGCGTTCGCCGACAAGGACGGGCCCGACGGCGGAGCGATTCGGTCGCCCTCTGTCGGAGTGCCGCGGTTTTATAAGTATTTTCAGTAGTGTCGGAAGGTTGGCGGAGGCGCCGGGTTTTTCTTTCTCGTCTGACTTGTCGGTGGAAAGCGATACTGTCGACGTATGACATGGGTCGCAGTTAAAAACGTCCCGAACGATTTCTTGTGATGATTAGTTTGACCGCGAAATAATAACCTAATTACCCCTCATGATTTACTACATTAGTGTGACGTCGGCTGTTGAAGTTTAGAATCCAACCGCTCTATATACGCTTGTTTCAATGTTTATATGATATTTGCTTATTGGAGACTCTATTGTATATTGAAAACGCGTACTTTAATAAAAATCAAAATATAACCTACAAGGCCCAATAAGTTGTCAGCAAAATTAATTATCAAAACTGGTTACAGTCCAACTTTGGTAACTCGAAGCGAGGTTTGTCGCAAAATGAATTGGACTTATGTATGGATGTATAAATGTTTAAATGTTAATGTATTCTCGTGTTTTTTCTAGTTTTATCCTCATAAAAAAAATTGCGTTCAGTACTGTGTAAACATCTTGCCCATATGTTCGAATACGAACGTATTTTGTTTAACACTTCTTCGACCGACCTCTTCAACCTCTGGTTCTAATTTTTTTTCTTTATCGCTTTCGTCAATCACCACTTGTAGCAGAACATCCACGAACACAATTAAATTAAGAAGAATTGCCAGGTTCAATTCAAGGTTCCACTTCTCAAAGAACAAAATGAGGCTTATCGTAGTTAACGATGGAAAAAACGACAAAAAATTAGGTTATGATCTCGTGTTCTGAATAAATTAATGGTACAGAGAGAGTTTTCGTCTGGTTCGGAACGTTTCGAATGACTGTCAAATGTCAAAAGTGTCGCATCTCGATTTATTCCACCTTTGGGTCGCTGGCGGGGAAATTAACCATAATAGTTCTTTTTTTGGAGAGTATTATTTGATTTTTGAAGGATCTCATTTTCGTCAGTCCGATATTCCTATTATTTTTTAAATGGCGGATGCTGAGCCGTCCAGTTTCGCAACCGTTAATGATTCTATTAAAGTTCGATATAGTTTAGAGATTTATATCCGCATTTTAGACGGAAATTATAGGTTAGGTTAGCGACGCGTAGAGAAAGTTTACAAACTTATATTTATGTGTGTGTATAGTTTACGGTGTATATTGCAGAGTTTTTTGTAAATAGTCATGTACATCTTAACGTTGTCTAGTGGATAGAGAGTATATACTAGATTTTTTTTTACTGTGTTTATATATCTTTATATAACTATGCGTGTACTTATTACTATTATTTAAAAATATAAATTCATACAGTTATTCGGTTGGGTTTGATTTCACGCGGGGTCAAAAAGAAGGGCGAAATATTCAGCAAAACTCAAACGGCGTGCTTATTCGTACATCAACGATCACAGATATTGTAATAAATTAGTTTTTTACCATTAAAATATATGAATAAACAGTATCTGCGTAAATTCCAACAGAGGCAATTTGAATTTTTGCTTGGTTCTTTCTATCTCTTTACTTCAAATCCAGGTGTCTTCCTATCAATCATCCAAGAAACGAAATCACATATCACGTAAACTAAATCACCACGATAAAAACACCGCATCAAAAAGTTACTGCGGGAGCAAGATTCATCTACGATATGCAATGCATGAGTCTAGATCTCTTTTTTTAGTTTTTCTTTTCTTAATTTTACCGAAAAAATACGGCTACCCCTCGCGTCGGCCATCTGGACCAATCCGATATGAATAACAACGAAGGAACTGTGTTTTAAACGATTAAAAAGGATTTTGTACTAGATACAACCTGGCATTTCCAATGCTTCCTATTGCTATTGCTTTTCTTTGGTTGGTTTGGTTACTGTTACTACTTTTACTTCTGATCACCACAACAACTAAAGGTCATTCGGCCAGTTTATAAATATTAGTAAATATAATTTAAAATTCCTAAAGGATGCCTTCGTGAAGAAAGGGTCTCGACTATTCCACCATCCTTGGGGCGTGTTAACGTATTCATAGAGTGCAATAAACTCCTCAATCCACCGATTCATCTAACGGCAATTATCCACACAGGATATCCAATCTGGCCTGGATACCACCGTGAATATGAAATATTCGGAAACCGAACAATACCATACAAACCATACATCCGCATTAAACAAGCACTAATACACACAACTATAAGTGCTACGCCTCTAACGATTCAATTAACTTAACAAACTAAACAATTTTTCATACCAATTTCTAACTTTTTATGCAAACGTCGACCATGTACAATGGTTCCTCAAATATCATCCTTTTCTTTGGTCAGTATGAAAACTTTCTAATTTTCTTTGGGTTGGGATGTTGACTAAGGTCACTTGCCCATTGCCGACATCCATGGACTTAGGGGGAGATGGAAACAAAAATGAAGGGTATTGAATCCAAATGATGAAAAATCCCTTTTTAATATTAATAAAATCAGTTTTAAAACACGTAGTTTTATACCTAACCTCAATATTCAATGTTTTGGATTTGATTGAATGAGATGAAAAATGAAATGAAAAAATGAGAAAATATTGTTTTCAAAAAGTATCGGAAATATATATAAATATTTCTTAAATCACTGTTTTAATTTGGTTCTCTATAATTTAAAAAACTTTAGTCAAAGGTGTTTTAAATAACACCATTTCATTGGATGGGTATAAGGTGTCTCATTGCCATGGAGATATAAAATGTGACATGTTGTGCTTTGTTTTATTTCTATTACATAACTTTTCCATTGGAAAAAATCTGTAAATATAAAAAATGATCCAAGTTAGTGCGCCATCCTCTTCAATAAGACCCCGCCCACCTAATTTGTCATCGTGTAAGTAGTTTTTTTTTTTTGATATTTAATAGAGGAAATAATCACAACAGCCTATTTCAAATTGCTTAAATAAAAACTAGTCATGATACTTGTACGGGTTTTTTGATGGACAGAACTGTACCTATATAGTTATGATTTACTTTAAGTTTCTAAAGAATTTTGGGATAACATATAATAATTCATAATAACTTTCTAATTTTGTATGAATTAAATTTGAAGGAAAATGCGAATTAGAGCTGGTATACTTTTTAAAAATTGTGTGTGTACAAAAACTGCACTGCAAATGTTTTCTGTTTCAAATATAGGATGTTAAAATTATAAAATTTATATTTTATAATACAGAATATATAATCAAAAATAAGCATCCTCTCTTAAAAGTTTTTCGAATCCCTCTTTCTACTGTTTAATTTTAATGGTATGTAATATAAGTTTTACAGGAGAGAAAGACTATTTTTTTTTTGAAAAACAACAACAAAAAATGAAAAAAAAACTAGAATTATTGGTCAAACGATTGTTTAAATTTCAATAAAATCGGTTAATTAAGATATTTTTATGAACCCTTTTCATTAAAAATAAGCATTCGCGTTTCACATAAAATCACTTAAAAAATCGCCTCAACACTTATATATAATTAAAAAACACCCTATATAAAATTCGCACTTTCTCCACGTCGCGTCGACTTCTGTCGATCTGTCCTGTTCGTAGCACCAAGGCGCTGGGGCGCGACGGGCGGAGCTTCATTTCTATTGGCGAGCATCCGGCCCAGGTAACTCCGCCCCGATCGGAATTGCAGCCGAAGTCATCTTTATCTTTCTGCCGCAAAGATATTCCGGGAAATTTGGTCCGTTTTTCGGTGTATCTGGTCTGGTAGGTATCCGACCAGGTAATCGTCACACCTTCGTAAAGACCGGGAGTTAGGAGTACCTTCGCGTTATACGGGGTGTCGCATTATAATCGTACGTCAATCAACGAAGGCGCGTAACTTTTGTTAGAACATTTCGTAGATATCTCATTTTTCTGGCAATCGAAAGTTTGGTTTGGGCCGATTACCATGTACCATGACATGTATAAATATTTCGTATCTCATTTCTTTCCTTTTTGTTTTTAAATTTTTAAAACTTAACGTCAATAAATGAAGATGCTAATTTTTTAAAAATATTTTGTATCTCATTTTTTATGTTAAACGAAAGTTTGGTTTGAATGAATCTCCAAACACTTTTAACCCCAATAAAGGCGTTAAATTATTTTGAAATTGACTTGCGATTAGCATTACCAAAAATTTTTACGTAAAACGTAAAGTTAAGTGGATTTTAGTTTTGGTTAAAAATAGTTATTCTTATAAATCAAATGTTTCAGTTTTTCAAACCGTCACACGAATTAATATTTAACCGCGATTACAATCATAGAAATGGTCAGATTATTGAGATTTTATTTATTCCTAATTAAGTAATAATAAAGCTGTACAGTGTTTTCTAGCTTGCCATCAGCTTCTCGCATTCTTTCTTCTATTTCGACGCACTTACTCCATTTTTCACAATCCACTGTCCTCATTCCTTCTTGCCCATACCAATTCTGTGGGTTGTAATATGGTGAAACGGCGGAAAGTGAAGTATCTATCGTTATGTTTCGTTTCGATTAGTTGGTTAAAAAAATATATATATTGCGCTACTAACTCTTAATAACGGAATCAAGTTAGCGAGCAAGCCCAGTGGCGGCGCAACAAAACATCATTACTTTTCAGTTAGTGCGTCAATTTGCTCAATATTTTTTGGACGAACGAAAAGTAAACGAAAATGTCCGATGAAAAGAAACGAAAAGTAGATGAAGAATAAGGTTTCCGGATTCAGGAAAAATTGACCGAACAATTCTATACGTTTTCTGTACATTCCAATGATAAAACAATAACAACAAATAAGAAAAGACAAAATCCAGGAAAACTGCAGCAAATGTTTCAAGAATCCAATAAAACATGCTTTTAAAATCTAAATGTGAAGACATAGAGTATCTATTTTTTTTTATTTTATTTTCTTATTCAAATAATGTCCTATATCTCTCGTTAAAAATTACTTAAAACACTACCTGCCTACACTGTGCAGCTCTAAATAAATTATTTGCAAACAGATCGGACTAAACATGTTATCAATCGACCCAATAAAACACGAAAATATAAAATATAATATATAAAGCATTTTATACAATGTATTAAGTAATTAATAGTATTTAACATAATTATCTTTATTTTATATCCTTAATGTCGATTAGTAACAAATTATAGGATGTAAAACGTATAATAAATATAAATTGAAGTTTTGTATTTATTATAAGCTTTTGTTTTGCGTCCGATGCTTATAAAAGGGTTCTGCTGGGCGTATGTCCTCAGTGTTGCTTAATTCGTAAGCAATCAAGCGGAAAATCGTCAAAAAAAAATAAACGACATGGATATTCAACTCCCGCGGAGCCTTTAAAAACAATCGCTGGTCTTGCTGTTTTCGATAGGCGTGGCACGAGCCTTTCGATCCCTTTTGTCTTTTGATTATCGCCAAAGGGTTGAAATTTGTTTTCAACCATTTTCGCGTTCCGTTGCATTTTTACAATACCCGGGCCGTCGATTGATTACAATTGTTTGATGACGAAATAAAAAACGTCCGCTTATATAAATATTATTCAGTTCTGGTTATTCGGGCAAACAAAGAGCGTACGTCAATACGGTTGAAAACGTACCCCGTCGACGTTATGGTTCAAAGGAGATCGGGTAAGTCGGGATAATTACGCAGTCAAAATGAAAATCATAATCAAAACGCACTGGGAAGCCGTTGCCACCGGTGATCACAGGAAAAATTCAAAAAAAAAAAACGCCATGATTCAATCAAATGCGATATGATTTTGCTCCATTGCTGCTTTTAATAAATCATTAGGCCAGATATTTTTATTGCTTACAATTTTAATTATTATTCACTGAAAGGAGAAACCCACTGGCGCACTACGGATAACCGAGCATTTGAGCCCTTTACGAACACTGCTTAAATCTTTAAGAGAAGGTGGAACATAGGAATAGAAAAATAGGGAAATAGGGAACGCGCGTGAATGATCGTGACGTCATACCGCTGCTTTTCGATCGATACGGCGACATGTTATGGTGTTATTGTAGGGTTACAGGCCGAGAATTATATTATTTACGTCTATTTTGGGGTCGTGTTTGTATTTACGCCAGTTTGTATTTGTGTGTAGTGCGCTGTACATGATTATAATGGTGCCACTTTAGCCTTAAGTGTGCAAATATTTTTAACTGTTCGTACTCGCAGTCTTTATAAGAATGGCTTCCCATCTACATAAAATAAAAAACACTGTATGTTATCAATGTCAATATACTTATTTATTTAGGTTTCCATTGGTTAAAAAAAATCTTTTTGTTTTTTTTTTTGGTTGAATAATTTACATTTTATTTTATGTACC